AAGATGTATGAGTACATGTGAGGACTGTGTGGACTTGTGAGGACGTTTGAGGACTTGTGAGGAATTGTGAGGAATTATCGTCGCGTCAGTGCAACAAGGTCGTAACTCGATTCTGCAACAAAGACGTATCTCGCGCGAATACGCTCCGTGCATGCAACAAGGTCGTATCTCGACGTCCATTGACTTTGCGTGTACATCCGGGTTATTTTAAGCAAGATACGACCTTTCGACATTCTAAAACTTGCGTTTTGCGTTTATGTCATTTTAGGGGGGGTGTAGGGGGCTCTGGATAGAGATAGTACCTTTGCTGTCTGTCAGCTGCACTCTCTTGGTAGAGTGGACAGGCATCACTGGTTCTCATCCATCTCCTAAATCTCTCACGTGCTGGCTCCAAGTGCCACACCCCGGTATACCGCCTCAGCTGGCGGGCGAAACCACGTGAGAGGGTGTTGTCTACACTGCACCACTGGGCGGATGAGCTACATCAGACAGCCAACGACCAGGGCGGAGCAAACACCGATTCGGCAGCTCCTGCAGCCAAGCTGGTGCCAAACGTCATGCTCGCATTCCTTTGGAACCCATCAGCAAGGCCGAGAGGGGGATTCTGACGCATGGGCAACCCAGGATCTCCGTACTTCATGCCCAGGCTTGCGCCCTGGAGAGGCCACTCCAGCCTCACCCTAGAGTGAGGAAACAACACGGCAGCTGGCAGTTACGGGTTATAAGTCCCATCCAATTGGCGTAGGAAACGGGGCGCCACGGGCCAGCTTCAATGGTGGGAGGAACCATCGCGTTCCATTGGTCGGCTACCGCCCGCCTCAAGCCGGGCAGCCCCCGGCCAGTAAGGTGTCGACCCGCCAACGTCCGTCTGCCTCATTGGGTGCTTGGGGCTTAGTGTAAAGCACGACAAGCGGACGTTAACACCGCACCATACAAAAAAGGAAAGAATAAAACGAAGATGCCAGCTTTTCGCATATCAAGCTGGAATGTTAGAACCATGCGCACAGGGCTCTCAGACAGCCTTGACCACATTGACGACTCTCGCAAGACCGCCATCATCGACCATGAGCTCGACCGACTCAATGTCGACATTGCTGCTCTCCAAGAGACACGGCTTGCTGACTGTGGTTCCCTTAAGGAGAAAAATTACACTTTCTTCTGGCATGGCAAGAGCGCAGAAGAGACCCGAGAACATGGCGTTGGCTTTGCAGTGAAAAACACCCTGATTGCCACAACTGTACCACCAAAAGGAGGCTCCGAACGCATCCTTGCCATCCGTATATCCACCAGCAGTGGACCAGCCAATCTGTTGAGCGTTTACGCCCCAACCCTCTGCTCTCCCCCTGAGTCAAAAGACAAGTTCTACGAGGAGCTTGACACTGCCATCAGCACCATCCCAAAGAACGAGCACCTGTTCCTCCTGGGGGACTTCAATGCTAGGGTTGGCGCCGACCACGAATCCTGGCCAGACTGCCTTGGACACTTCGGAGTGGGGAGTATGAACGAGAATGGGCAGAGACTGCTAGAGTTGTGCTGCTATCATCAGCTCTGCATCACCAACACCTTTTTCCAGACTAAGCCATTGCACAGGGTCTCCTGGAGACACCCAAGATCCAAACGCTGGCACCAGCTCGACCTCATCATCACGAGACGAGAGACACTCAACTTTGTCCACTTCACCCGCACTTTTCATAGCGCGGACTGTGACACGGACCACTCCCTCGTTCTCAGTAAGGCCAAGCTTACAGCCCAGGCAGGTCCACAATGCCAAGCAGAAGGCACGTCCCCGCATCAACGCCAGCCGCTCCATAAATCCAACTGTCACCCAGCTCTTCCTCACCTCACTTGATCAAGCACTCTCCTCCTCCAATCAGCAAAGTGCTGTGGACAAGTGGAACTGCCTGCGTGACACCATTTATGACCAAGCCCTCGCAGCATATGGCAAAAAAGTGAGGAAAAATGCAGACTGGTTTGAGGCCAATGGAGCGGAGATGGAGCCAGTTATCGAGGCCAAGCGCACCGCCTTCCTCAAGTACAAAAATAATCCATCGACGAGGAACCTTGAGGCTCTTAGAAAAGCTAGGGGCAAGGCCCAGCAAACAGCACGACGCTGCGCAAACAACTACTGGCTCAAACTCTCCTCCCGCGTACAAGCCGCTTCCGACACAGGTGACATCAGGGGTATGTACGAGGGGATCAAGCAAGCCACAGGTCCCTCCATCAAAAAAACGGCGCCTCTGAAATCCAAGTCCGGTGAAGTCATCACCGACAGCAGCAAACAGATGGAAAGGTGGGCTGAGCACTACATGGAGTTATATGCCACAGAAAACACAGTGTCAGAGGAGGCTTTGAATGGCATCGCAAACATGCCTGTGATGGAGGAACTTGACAAGGACCCCACGCAAGAGGAGCTCAGTAAAGCCATTGACAGCCTCGCTTGCGGCAAGGCCCCAGGTGCTGATGGGATAACACCTGACATCATCCAACTTGGGAAACCAACCCTTTTGCCACATCTTTACGACCTCCTCTGCCTTTGCTGCAATGAAGGAGCCGTCCCCCAGGACATGCGTGACGCCAAAATCGTCACCCTGTACAAGAACAAGGGCGACCGCAGCGACTGTAACAACTACCGCGGCATCTCTCTGCTCAGCACTGTGGGGAAGGTCTTCACACGCGTTGCCCTTATCAGGCTCCAGCTTCTGGCGGAGCGCGTCTACCCTGAGACACAGTGTGGCTTCAGGGCAGCAAGATCCACGTTGGACATGATCTTCACCCTTCGACAACTGCAGGAGAAATGCCGTGAACAGAGGAGACCTTTGTATCTCGCTTTCGTCGACCTCACAAAGGCCTTCGACCTTGTTAGCAGAGATGGTCTCTTCAAGCTGCTTGCAAAGATTGGTTGCCCTCCAAAACTTCTCAGCATCGTGACATCATTTCACAACAACATGCAGGGTTCAGTCTGTTGTGATGGAGAAACTTCAGAGGCCTTCCCAATCCGCAGCGGAGTGAAGCAGGGCTGTGTTCTTGCACCGATCCTCTTCGGAATTTTCTTCTCTCTCCTGCTGTCGTTTGCATTTGGCTCATCCCCTGAAGGCGTCTACCTACACTCAAGAGCTGATGGCAAACTCTTCCACCTTGCCCGCCTTAGGTCAAAGACGAAAGTGACCAGTGTACTCCTGAGGGAAATGCTATTTGCAGATGATGCAGCTCTAGCATCACACACAGAGACAGGGCTCCAGCAGTTGGTGGACAGGCTCTCTTATGCATGCAAGGAGTCCGCCCTTACCATCAGCATTAAGAAGACCCATGTCATGGGCCAAGAAGTCGAAACCCCACCCTCCATCTCTATTGACAACAAGACCCTAGACTGTGTGGGCACCTTCACTTACCTCGGATCAACAGTCGCCAGCAACCTGTCACTTGACGCAGAACTGAGCACCCGTCTTGCCAGGGCCGCCACAGTGATGGCCAGGCTGGCAAAGAGAGTGTGGTCTAACAAGAAACTAACTGTGTGCACAAAACTCCAGGTCTACCAAGCATGCGTCATCAGCACTCTGCTATACAGCAGTGAGGCCTGGAACACCTCCACCAGCATGTTCGCCATGTTGAGCCAGCGCCGCCTCAGATGGCTCGGTCACGTCCACAGGATGGACTCCGGTCGTCTTCCAAGGGCCATCCTGTATGGCGAGCTTTCGTCAGGCTCCAGGCCAATTGGTCGTCCGAACCTACGATTCAAGGACGTCTGTAAACGCGACATGAGGCAGGCTGGCATAGACCCCAACAGCTGGGAGGAAGCCACCCAGGATCGCAGTGCTTGGAGAAAGACAGTTGCCGCAGGGATCCACCGCGCTGACGAGAGGCGCACCTCCTTGCTGCAGGAGAAGAGGCAGAGGAGGAAATTGCGAGTAGCAGCCCCCACCCCTGAGTCAGTCCCCTCTCCTTTCGTCTGCGCTAATTGCGGCAGAGACTGTCATGCAAGAATTGGACTGCTCAGCCACAGCCGCCGCTGCAACAAAGACGACAATCCCCCGGGCGCAGTCCATCGTCAGTATTGACGGACGGATGCCTACTACTACTACATTTTAGGGGATACGACCTTGTTGCACTGACGCGACGTTATGAGGATTTGTGAGGACTTGTAAGAACTTGTTTAGATCTGTGAGGACCTATGAGGACTTGTGCAGACTTATGTGGACTTAAATACAACCTTGTTTTATATTTCACTGAGGTTAGACCCTCCAAATTCTTCGAGTCGCCCCTCCCCCCCCCAAAAAAAAAAACTGACAACGTTGGCCTAATTGCCAAAGTTATGGGCCTTAGTGTAATAGAACAATTGAAGACCTTGGTTGAGTTTTCGCTAGCTTGGCCTTTTTGTCTCAACCCCGTCATAATTATCTTACCTCACGATTATTGTAAGACGGAGGAGATCTCCAAAAGTCGCCAAGACAAAGACACCAGTCAGAACGAGGAGAAACGGCACGGCAGCTGTACACTGCGTCCCGCAAGCGCCCTCTACGACGGAGGCAGAACGAGCGCTGGAGTACAAACTTTCATCGCTGAGCATCATCGGGCATGCGCAGTCGGAGTAGTTGCCCTGCATTATCAGAGTAAAACGGTTAAAGAAATCTGAATCCAAGGGGAAGTTTGAAGCAATCTCCCTGCTGGTGTTAAAATATTCAGTCAACTATTAATTCATTCGTATAACACTTATCGAAAAACAACCTTTTTTCTTTAAATTAACAGAAAATTTTAAAATTGTTTCATTTAACACGGTATTAACCTTTGGGATAGTTGGAATGACGCAATTTAGGTATCCTTCACTCTTTGTTCCCACCCCCCCCAAAAAAAAAACCCAGAAAATTAACTAAAACATAATTTTAATGACCGCCGATTGTTTACGAGGTAACTTCTCAGCTTATAGACGAACTCGACTTGGACTTGGCTATGATGTCATTTGGAAGGCCTAGCTAAATTATTTTAGGAAATCATTTTCATTTTACTTGGGCACCGATGACGTTACACCCGGCGTGGCACGGTGAGAAATACGTCAGACCCGCATCGGAGCACACGGGTGCGTACAGAGCCATGGAGCACGAGCAGTTCTGGTTGCAAGGTGCTTCCAAATCAACAGAAGCCAAGCTGCATAAGATAAAGAAAACAAAAGAAAAAGGGGAGAGTAAATTAGAAAGGTATGACAGTATCGAGGACTGAACGTCATGAAGATGCATGCTAAGCACACAATTGTTTCGCTATAATACAGATCTCCGTCCCGTTTGAGGGGGCGTAAGCAGTATAACCGTTTCGAAGACTTCACTTGCACCCACTGCCCTATGAAAGGTCGTCTAGGGCTAGACGTTGCATGGTTTGATACGCGATGACCCGCCGCCGGCCGCCCAATCAATATTGCCCACTGACTTGCCAGCAGCAACGTCTGGGGCAGCTCCCATTAGTTGTATTATGCGCACGCACCTATTTGACCTAATACATGCAGCTCACAATTAAAAAAAATTCATGGTTGTTCCGAAGCAAACTCTCAAATTTCTTAAAGTACAATCAAAGATTCCTTGGTCAAGGCACTTCAACCCCACTTGCCCCTCTCCACCCAGGAGTATAAATGGGTACCGGTGTCACATGAAAATCCGACTCCTATGAACATCGGACCCCTTTTCCCTTGAATTTGTTAATCCCTCTCACGTGACCGGTCACTTTCCTAATTATCATACTTACGCAAGCGCAGTATTACCAATGAGTCCGATTTTCATAGAAACGTAAATTCACGCTACACCGGCATTAGCTGGGGAGTAACCTGCGATGGACTAACATCCCATTCAGGGCGAGTAGAAATATTTTCAGTCGTTTCATGCCAAGGAAACCACAGATAAACACCTGCCTTTACAGACAGAACTTTTACTACAATCAAAGAGGCAGCAAGACCTTGTGCAGCTTCACTGGTCAGCTCTTTTGTTGTGAGTATGTGTGGGTCTGAAAATGGACAGATATTGCCTGCAGAAGTCGTGCATGCATGCGCACTGGTTTCCCTAATTTTTTTCTGGGGGAAGATTTCAGGAGACACCCTAGACGTTGCTGCTGACAAATCCGTGGGCGATGTTGGTTGGTCGTGATAGCGCCCTCTCGCGGCAGCGGGTTACGCGTATACCATGCAACGTCTGGCCCCGGGACTAAAGGGCACTGGTTAGTCCATTTTCTCAAGCCGGGGAAAGATTATATAAGACAAGCCCCGGAGAGCTTGGGAGAGATGTTTATTTTTGAACAGCCATCAAGAAGACATCCATCCTTCATGCATCAGTTCTGCAAAATGTTAGTCACATCGGGGGAGGGACGGGTTGTATTAAACCACGTCGAAGCGTGCACTTCAATCTCAAATTTGTCATTATTTTGTCGGCCCCTTCGTGGAAATTGAATAGCTCAAGAGAATGCATGTGGTACGTTAGAATGTTATAAAACTTGTCCCAAAACGTGTGCAAGACGTTAACTGTTTCAAAGGCTCTGCAAGGCTTGGCTCTAAACCAGGTGCATTCTCATGACAATGATATTGGGGGAAACGTAATGTCCCGTCCTTTGTTTGACCCATGGGTACGTGACCTCATGATGTAAAAAATAACCCCCAAAACACAGCCCTCATGAGGAGGTAGGACAAACATTACACCTTTCAAGTTATTCGCATCATGCGTATAAACGGGGTCGTATCGTAACTCCGACACCTCATATTTAACACCGACGCCTGATAAGTCCGAAATTTCGGAATCACGAGGCGTCGGATTCATGAGGCATTGGGCCTTGGGGATTCGGCCTCATAGCTCTGAGACTGTACTGGTGTAGCCCTTTAAAACCAGGGATGCCAACTTTGGGAACTTAGTCGCAAATGTTGTCTCTCTAGCATTCATCACGTGGTAAGGGCTACCTCAAGATGTACAAAAACTACTGGTACGAAGCCCTTTCTGCGCGCCACACATCATTCGATATATAACAATTATGTTGTGTACGGTGAGATGTACCAGGGGCGATTTTCAACCTCTTGTGCCTTTGGGAGGTGTAGATTCCCTACCTGCTCACGCCATCGTAAGTGGAGAACACACCAGCTACGTTGTCGTTGGCGCAGCCTATAACCATGAGCAGAGCCATGCCGACTACACACGCCGTCAGCACGACGCAGGTCAGGCGGACGGTACCGTGCAGTGTTAGCTCCAGTTTCTTCACCAAGAAACCCGCTAACAGTTCCCCAACGGCGTAGGCAGGGGCGAGCAGCACACCTGTTGAAAACACGTGCAGATAAGTCATAGCTATGAAAATAATAAGTAATAGTGTATATTTATAAAGTGCATGTAAGGCCAAAAAAAAAGTCTCCGGTTTCTGGTATGGAGCTTGCTTAAAAAGTGGTGCGGCGACGCGGCTTTTTTTGTTTGTTTACCTGATTTTTTTTGCTTCCAATGACTGCAAATGGTGCCCGACTTAACTTAGTGCAAATATATTGGAGTCCAGAGAGGCCACATAAAGCTTATTCTTGACCATAACCCAATCTAAAAACACGTTAAAATTGTGCAGCAGCATGATTCCAGTCAAACCAGTGAGTTTGGCAGTTTGGAGACATCATCTTTTATTGAAAAAAAAAACGTTTTCATTTTGCCGACGCGCATGGCAACGGCGACGCGCGCGCATACCAGAAACCGGGGACTTTTTTTTTGGCCTGAGGATGCAGCCTCATACAAGCAACCTGTCGGCTGGCTCCTTAGGCCGAATAAAAAAAAAACATGTTTCTCGTCCGGGTGTTTGAAAAAAAAGGAGGAAGCGGGGCTTTTCATTTTTTGTCATGTTGTATTTTCAATAAAATAATTTTAAAAAATGAATAACATAATATAATACATTTGCGGGGTGAATATACAAGAGAGGTCACCCACTGAAAAAAGGCGCTCTCTCCTGCCCACAATATTTCAAAAAAGGCGTATATGGACTATATAGGTACCAGTCATCAAGGCAATACATTTGTCTTGCTGTGACATACCAGAAATAAACCTTTTAAGCACTCATTGTTACTGAATTAAAATAACGAAGGATGCCCAAAAAGATGGCCGCTATACGCATAAAGTCTACCCATGAGGTCTAAGAAATACGACGGCTGCTCAAGTTTAAGGAATAAGTCAATCTGGCATGAAATGTCATCATGGCCTACGTCAAAGTGAAAATGCACAAAACGCTGCTCCGTCCCATAAATTCAAAACTTTTATTTTTCGATTCATTGACATTCAACGGTTGTATTCAAAAATGCTATCAAAAGCTTGGAAAACACAACGACTATCCTCTATCAATAGAATTTCTGTAGAAATATAACAAGGCCTATGCAGTTTTTCTAGTATATATTTTCCTGCTCAGTCTTGCAATTGACTTTGTACATGTATTTCGTTAATCTTTCAGAAATTTGAGATAATTAACACACTGTTATAATGCAACTCAAAATAATTATAATATACACGACTACATGTAATTGTCGCACAGATTTTTCATATTATTCAGGGAATTATTGTAATTAAGGGAATTATTGTTGTTAATGTATTTTTACTCTGTTGGACGGTTTTTAATCAAATTTGGTATACTACTTTTAATTGGATAGTTGTATTTTTGGGAGACAGGTGTTTTTACCAATTAATCTGAATAAATAAAGTATTATTCCATCCTGTATGCTCACTGTCTGTCCCTTTGCCAGATTCATGCTATTGTGTCTCATTCAGTGCACATCACTGGAGTTCGTTTCATTCCCTTTAACGCGTTTCTATTATTCTGTTCCCCCTGTGAGCGTCCTTCGTTCGTCTTCTCAGGCCAAAAAAAAGTCTCCGGTTTCTGGTATGGAGCTTGCCCAAAAAGTGGTGCGGCGACGCGGCTTTTTTTTTTTTTTACCTGATTTTTTTTGCTTCAAATGTCGGCTGATGACTGCAAATGGTGCCCGACTAAACTTAGTGCAAATATATGGGAGTCCAGAGAGGCCACATGAAGCTTATTCGCGACTATAACCCAATCTAAAAACACGTTAAAATTGTGCAGCATGATTTCAGTCAAACCAGTGAGTTTGGCGGTTTTGAGACATCATCTTTTATTGAAAAAACAACTTTTTCATTTTGCCGACGCGCATGGCTACGGCGACGCGCGCGCATACCAGAAACCGGAGACTTTTTTTTGGGCCTAACCTCCAGTATCGGTGCCAAAGGCGCCACATCATTGTGAAACATTTCAAAGACATCTCATGGGGAGCATACACCTCCATTCTTCCATTTCGGCACGAGACAGCTTAAATCAATCACTGATCATCTGTGCCGTCACGGGTTTAATCCCGGGTGGGGAGAAGCAGTAAATGACAAAACATCTTGCAAAAGGACACAAACACACACAGACACGCTAGCATACGTTACATACCTATAGTAGGGACATTCTTTTGTTTTTGTGTAGTTATGAGAAAAACCTGTTGAATAAAAACTCATTTTACTCACACTGTGAAAACTCTTTCGACCCAATTTTTTTTTCTATTATTCCCTTTAGTGTTTCTCTTCATTTTGCCACGGATAAACCTAACCCAAAACTGCATCTAAACCTGTTTTCCAGAGAGGAGGAAACATTGTGTGGACGTGGGCAAGTCCACACAACGTTGCTGCTACCTGGTTTATGTGGACATCTTTTGTTGGGAAGTCCACACTGAGAATGTGATGCTTGTTATTTGCCTAAAGTCGGGGACCCCTATTGTCCTTCTTTTGTTTGTACTTTTTTAGGAAGACCTCCAAAATGTTTTGTACACGAATCAAAAACACACTGTTATAATGCAACTCAAAATAATTATAATATACACGACTACATGTAATTGTCGCACAGATTTTTCATATTATTCAGGGAATTATTGTAATTAAGGGAATTATTGTTGTTAATGTATTTTTACTCTGTTGGACGGTTTTTAATCAAATTTGGTATACTACTTTTAATTGGATAGTTGTATTTTTGGGAGACAGGTGTTTTTACCAATTAATCTGAATAAATAAAGTATTATTCCATCCTGTATGCTCACTGTCTGTCCCTTTGCCAGATTCATGCTATTGTGTCTCATTCAGTGCACATCACTGGAGTTCGTTTCATTCCCTTTAACGCGATTCTATTATTCTGTTCCCCCTGTGAGCGTCCTTCGTTCGTCTTCTCAGGCCAAAAAAAAGTCTCCGGTTTCTGGTATGGAGCTTGCCCAAAAAGTGGTGCGGCGACGCGGCTTTTTTTTTTTTTACCTGATTTTTTTTGCTTCAAATGTCGGCTGATGACTGCAAATGGTGCCCGACTAAACTTAGTGCAAATATATGGGAGTCCAGAGAGGCCACATGAAGCTTATTCGCGACTATAACCCAATCTAAAAACACGTTAAAATTGTGCAGCATGATTTCAGTCAAACCAGTGAGTTTGGCGGTTTTGAGACATCATCTTTTATTGAAAAAACAACTTTTTCATTTTGCCGACGCGCATGGCTACGGCGACGCGCGCGCATACCAGAAACCGGAGACTTTTTTTTGGGCCTAACCTCCAGTATCGGTGCCAAAGGCGCCACATCATTGTGAAACATTTCAAAGACATCTCATGGGGAGCATACACCTCCATTCTTCCATTTCGGCACGAGACAGCTTAAATCAATCACTGATCATCTGTGCCGTCACGGGTTTAATCCCGGGTGGGGAGAAGCAGTAAATGACAAAACATCTTGCAAAAGGACACAAACACACACAGACACGCTAGCATACGTTACATACCTATAGTAGGGACATTCTTTTGTTTTTGTGTAGTTATGAGAAAAACCTGTTGAATAAAAACTCATTTTACTCACACTGTGAAAACTCTTTCGACCCAATTTTTTTTTTCTATTATTCCCTTTAGTGTTTCTCTTCATTTTGCCACGGATAAACCTAACCCAAAACTGCATCTAAACCTGTTTTCCAGAGAGGAGGAAACATTGTGTGGACGTGGGCAAGTCCACACAACGTTGCTGCTACCTGGTTTATGTGGACATCTTTTGTTGGGAAGTCCACACTGAGAATGTAATGCTTGTTATTTGCCTAAAGTCGGGGACCCCTATTGTCCTTCTTTTGTTTGTACTTTTTTAGGAAGACCTCCAAAATGTTTTGTACACGAATCAAAATTGGCGACCTCTCGGGAATTGGGATCCTATTATCCTCTTTTGTTCAACGTCCCCAATGGAATGCAGAAACAAACTCATGCACACAAGACCTGCAGAATTACATGCAGTTCACGAATTCAATGCTCCAGACCACAAGGTGTCTCAACACATTGCGTCAGTAACCGTCAAAACAATGGACAGCAATGTTTCATTATCCTTTCTGTAGGTTCGATGGGTACAATATGAGAGCGGTATTTAGAGTGGGCAAATATGAGTAACTACTACAGAGTTTGCCCTATCGAAAATAACAGTGGCGTAGCATTCCGGGAGGGTCCCTTATGTTTTGTCGCAAGAGTCCTTTTTTTGCACAAATACATGTTTTAACGAGTCCCTTTTTGTCATGGATGCCCTTTTTTTTTAAACGTTCCACAAACGTCGACAGTTGTGCAGCCATGACAAGCGCCACCTTTTGTCCCATAGTGCCCATGAACGTCCGCTTTGAACAGCGCCCTTAATAGAAAAATGGTGTAAAATTTTCAACCAAGTGGCCAAGGAATTCAGTAGCGAGTTATAATCTCCCTTGACTATATATATTTCTCTCAGATCATTGTAACTGCATAGAGTAATAACGGTCCTGTTACATCCTGTATTCCAAACATACCTGTCAAGAGATCAGCAGTCTGTCTGTCGTACCCAAACTGTACCTCCAGATACTTGGGGACAAATATCCCGTAGCCGTACATGATGAAATAGAAGGTACTCTGGGACAGACACGTCAGGGAACATGTCGGGTTCTTCAAAGTCCTCCAGACAGTCCACATGAACTCTGTATCAACCGGAACAAAAACAAACATCAACGGAGTTTATTGTTTTTGACAAAAGATACTAATCACACTGAAAGACACTGATCACTGTTGCCCGTCATAATTAAAGAACACAAATTTCCTTCCCGATTTTTTTCTTCAATTTCTACTCGTAGGTTAAATAAACAGTAAGCCTACGTAACATCGCGTACTGCAAAGACGTCCACAAACGGATTGTAGAGGTTGACAACGATTATGATGAATACGTCATTGACTTCGAAATGATAGGGGTTTAAAAGCTCGTGGCTTTCTAAAAGGCCGAAAGTGCCATCAAAGTCTAATCCGGTTACATGTTAATGCATGCCTGTTTTTCCTCAAACAAATCCAAATCGTGGGTGAAACAGAATTTCTTTTGGTCTTGATTAACTGTCACACTTCCAGAATAATCAGGCCGATTTCGTCCCTTCCTTTCCAGGATGGATGAAAAAACCTGCAAGGTGTCATTCGACAGGATCACAAAATGTTGGCAGTTTATCTCACTGTTTTTGACGGAGCAGCGGAACCGCTGATTGAACACTAGGAGGTGAAACATTAATAATAGGAAGGGAAACCTGAACCGACGTCATTTGCAGTATAGTTCTGCTATGCTCAATTTTTGTGCCTCTGCCATTTCTTTTCTTTTAAAAAGCGGCTGGAAGGGCTTAGCTTACACCACAAAATTCACATCATGAAACGTTTGCGACGTAATTCACCGAGTTATTTAATATTCGCGAATTTCGTAGCCCGTAAAATTGGCGTGGCGTCACAAAATTGCAGTAGCACGCACATTTTGCGCCGAGTATAAGCCGGACATACTGAATAATGGCGGCCTCGCTTTTAAAGAAAGGCCATTTTGGATTAGTTACTTATTATGCTTACCTTTGATGTCCAAAAACTGATGGTTCCCTTCGTTGTCGTTCTCAGCCTCGTGTGTCTCGTTACTTGTGAACTTCTCCGTTGTCTCGTGCTCGTCATCAGGCTGGCGATGTGCTGATGACGGCATCCGGCGCGGGAAAAGCGGGAAGAGAGCGGCCGAGAGGCAAAAGAGAACAGCAAGGACGATGAAGCCCAGCCACCACGCTCCGATCCAGCCCGGGTCTCCCGGGCCCAGGGACAGGTCGGTCTCAGCTCCAACCAGCCGGTAGAAGTCCACCCAGATACCGATGAAGGCTGCGGCCAGCATGACCCCGACAGCTGGTCCCATGCCCAGGACCGCATTGATGATGCCTGAAATCGAGACGTGCCGCAGGTTTTAAAACTAAAACCATTGATAAAAGGAGCGTTACCACAATTACCCTCCAGGCATATTGTACCCTACAGTTGTGTCACTGAAGAGTCACCGAGGAGTGCAGTTATCCAGCCAGCCCCCCCCCCCCCCCCGTGATTTGTTTTCAATCGGCTGGGGGATGCCCGTGACAATGTCATTTTAAACGAAGTTACCTACATTTTTAGTACACTTAGTCAGCTGGTTTATATCATCTCACATATGCAATTTGAAATTTTCAAGGTTATGAAACACTATAAAACCAAAATCCACCTGATGCCAATTTCAATCCCAGTAGAGTGTTTCCCTAGCATTGTTCTTTAGCCGAAGTGAAGAATGTACAATTGAATACCCATTTTAATATGGTGTGACATGTAAACATTCGTCCTCCCCGTTCACTTTGATGCTGGATCGGAAACAAACCACAAACGAAAAGTGAAATATTATTATCTGAATCGTTTTCTGCGCGCGAAGCCCCCTAGTAATGACCCGCCCATAAAAGGCATCAAGTGGTTTTGAACTTCTTGAGGTATCGTTAAGTCATGATCCTGTGAGTTTCAAGCATTGTACCCCAAAATGAATATGGGCCCCAACAAGCCCACTGACTAACTGTTATCAACAGGCAATACACTCGGAAGTGAAACCATGATTTTGGGATAACTAGACCTCTGAAGGTACCGAATTTAACGATTTTGTGCTATTTAGCAGGCATACTATAGCTGGGTTGATTTTCTGCTGACAAAATAATTTCGATCTTTAATTAATTTTCGGCTCTCCTAGCAACGAGACCCTCCGTGCTTATACCACATGTGGGATGTGTGACGTTAAATATGGAGGTAGTCCAGTATTTCCGTCACATTTCGTCGCTTTGCTCACGAAGTAACAAAAACCTCAAAATTTGAAAAAAGTTCATCCTGAGATAATCGCATTTGAAGTTATTAATTTTATCAAAAGACATTTTCGACCACTTTGCAGTAACAGAATTCGGAATTTTTGGCATTATCCTATATGATATGATTTGCTCTTTGCTAATTCATAGTTGTTTGTTAAAAATAGTTCGTAATTAAACAGTAATTCATTAATACAACTTTTTTGCACTTCGTGAGAACATCAATTTTTAAACTCCCATATTTTGCCAATTACTTTGTACACAGTTTTTGTCACTTCGTGGGATCATGAAACTTTTTTCGGCGCAACAAACTTGTTACTTTTGCGCGTCACGACAGTTGAGCGCGCGCGCGTCTGTTCTTTTTCAACATCGTTCGCGCGCGCGTGTATGCTCCCATCCTGTCGCGTGAAGACCAATGTATAATTCCTCCGGCCCTGCTCACGAGGTGACTTTTTGTCACTTCGTGAGACTTTTTTACACTTCGTAAAATGAAAATCACCGATTTCAGGCTTTTTGACAATTGTTTGTTTACAATAATTAAGAAAGTAAACAATATTTTGCCTTGAAACTTGGTCAAATTGTTCCTTGAGACAACTATAATAAAATGGCTAGTAAAACTCAAAATCGAATAATTATCGATTTTCGAGGTTTTTGTCACTTCGTGAGCAAAGCGACGATTTATGGGACTAAGGGGCGGTATTCATACCATTTAATGGGGTTGTAAATAAAAATATCCAATCTTGCCTCCCCCAATTTCTGAGCGGGACACGAAAGGGAAAGAGTTCCCCAGCGAAGGGGGGGGGTTGGCGTGGGGCCCCATAAGTACACCACTTCTACCCGTGGCGATCTTCCCAAATGTCAAACACTCTTCTGTCTCTGACTTCTTACTTAGTCTTTCGTCAGTCAATCGTGTCAAAAACAAATGTTGTTGGTTTAATTTGGTGGGGTGCTATCGCTCAGTGTTTCCCTTACCCATGTAAACCGCAGTGGTTCCAGGCGATGAACAATCAGCTATGTATGCGATACCGATCGGATAGGATATCATACCAACGCCTTGCAAAAACATCCCCAGGTAGAATAGCGACATGGAGGCAGAATCGACGGCAACATTGTCACTCACAGATGAGCATTCCTCGGTGATGTCGGAGTCGTAGCAGGCAGAAGTCTCGCCGGCGAAGCCCTGCGTGGAGTTGTCGCCAGTTGCCAGCACAACACTTGGGGGAAGGTAAAGATCATGAAGAAAGGCCGGCAGGGCAAGCATCAACGCACCAAGGCCAAGTGATATCCCAGAGACACCAAGCAGGCAAGGCTTGCAGCCTGGGACCACCGTGCCGACGCAGAAGGCCAGGAGGATACCGAGGATTCCCCCGACGCAATAGACAGTAGTCATGCTTCCCAGCTCGGTCAGCGTGAGCTGGAAGTGAGCTTCCACGGAGGTGATGGTGCCCGTACTCATACCAATGTTGATGCCATCGATGGCCGTGTAGACACACATTGCCACCAGAAACACCCAGGGCCGGGCCAAGCGCTTTAGGAAAGGCGGCTCCCAGCAACGAATGCCGCACCCATCCGCTTCGCGAGCCGGTAAAATGTCCAGAGTTTTCGAGTATTTTGCAGAAGATTCCGCCATGATATGTTACTCTCCGTTAAGGAGAATATACGAGAAAGTTTGGATTCGCAATTTAAGAATTCACGAGGCGCGAAGCCTGTTGTATGGTGGCCGTTCATTGCCGTTCCCCTTTTTCAGTAAATATTTCAAAATTTACCGCTCTACATAGTTTTCTTTTCAAAATGTTTAAAAAAATATTTAAGTTAATTCAAAAAAAATAAAATTCTTATAAAAATAATTTCAAAATTAAAATTCTGATAAAAGTAATTTCAAATTTAAAATGCTTATGAAAATTATTTCAAATTTAAATTTCTTATAAAAATATTTTCAAATTTAAATTGCTTTTAAAAATAATTTAAAATTTAAATTTCTTATAAAAATATTTTCAAATTTAAATTGCTTATAAATATAATTTCAAATTTAAATTTCTTATAAAAATATTTGCAAATTTAAATTGCTTTTAAAAATAATTTCAAATTTAAATTTTTTATAAAAATATTTGCAAATTTAAATTGCTTATAAATATAATTTCAAATTTAAAATGCTTATAAAAATAATTTCAAATTTAAATTTCTTATAAAAATATTTTCAAATTTAAATTGCTTTTTAAAATAATTTTAAATTTAAATTTCTTATAAAAATATTTTCAAATTTAAATTGCTTTTAAAAATATTTCAAATTTAAATTTCTTATAAAAATATTTTCAAATTTAAATTGCTTATAAATATAATTTCAAATTTAAATTTCTTATAAAAATATTTTCAAATTTAAATTGCTTTTTAAAATAATTTTAAATTTAAATTTCTTATAAAAATATTTTCAAATTTAAATTGCTTATAAAAATAATTTCAAGTTCATGTTTAAAATGAAAGTAGATTTTACACAAAATGAAAGCGATTCCAAAGTGAACTTCATATTCGTGACGGCCTATGGTTGCCACAGTATCCCACAGTGCTTTGCCGATGGGGATGCATAGAGTTAAACAATTCTATGTGGGGGCGATGGGCCGCGCGCTGTATCCAATATCGCGCAGTCTAGTACAGGGTAAGGACTAGTAGCAACTCTAGCTTTACAGTACAGATCGGTGTCATGGCGGAACCGAAGACACGAACGTGGGGCCTAGTGCTGACGGCAGTGGCGTCACCAGACTTTTCAGTCTGGGGGGGGGGGGCACAGGGGGGGCACCAGCATTTGATGGGGGGCACTTAGGTGGATACGGATCGCCGTCCTGGGGGAGGGGTCTAAGGGGAGGGGGTGTCCCCCTCCCCTTTGGAAAATTTTCGCATACGGAGGATGGGCTAGATGTAGCCCAGGTTGGACGAAGTCTTCATTGCAATACGACTAACGTCCAGGACAAGACTTTTCTACATGAAACCATCCCAACATTTTTACCAGAGTTTTGTTATGTTTTACCTCGTTATAGAAGCTTATTTCACGCCTACATACTCTATGTATCCTTATCTGTTAGCACGCTGGGTTCAGGAATTCCATATGCGATGCTGACTGACGTTAATCAGGAAAATAAACTCCAAAGCAACGTTAAACTTGTACGTGTTTGTAGTCGCTTTTCATCAGTTTATTCCCAGAGTCGTACGTCATGTACAATGTACATGATATGTACAAATGTACGTGCGTACAATCCGAAAGCGCGCACGCACGCTAAGCGCCCTCATTTGTTTAGTTTTGGTTGGAACCGTGACGTCACTCCAGCCAACCGATGTCAGGAAAACGCTCAACCAATGACCAAAGCCGAAACGTGTTTCTGGTAACTGGCGCGACAACACGCTCGGTCATTGGATTAGCGACCGCACCTTCAAGTAAGTGCGCCTGCGTATGAGGGTGGTTACTAAGCAAATCGCGCGTGCGCACTGCATATTCATGCGGCATAGTCTGTCCCCCGGACCAGATGTGATAATGAGCGTCGGGAATAATTGTCCGGTCTAGGGAACCAGACTACACGCTGCACCGTACAGACGTACATGATGTACGACTAGAATAGACTCGGCGGTGAGAAACTGATGAAAAGAGACTAAACACGTACAAGTTTAACGATGCTTTCGAGTTTATTTTCCTGATTGACGTCAGTCAGCATCGCATATGGAATTCCTGAACCCAGCGTGCTAACAGATAAGGACACATAGAATACTACGACGTAGAAATTAGCTTCTCCAACAAGGTAAAAATATTGAAATTATTGGTCAGAAATGTTTTCGTTCGGTTGTGAGCACATGTGTACTCAGGACTCCCTCCGTAACGTAGGGAGGAAAGGGAGTCCACCAGGGCTAGGGCTAGATGCAAAATGGTGCCACATTTGATGCTAAATTCGATCTGAAGATATCTCCAGAAATTGCTATTTAACCAACTCAGATGATGGGAGTTGAATATAACAAAATATATATATATTTTTTTACCAACCCAAATCTCAGATGGGGGGGGCACTCGGGGGGCACTAGGTTTTCCAGGGGGGGCACGTGCCCCCCCTGGCCCCCCTTTGGCGACACCACTGGCTGACGGTTTTTACTCTCATAATGACTCTTGGAAGGAGGATAATGACCTGAAAGAAGAGATGGACAAGTATGTAAAGCAACTGCTTAAACGAGAGGAGATTCTCAGTTTCTAGCCCCATAAATGTGGCCAATTTACAGGACTACCTCCGTAAACATAGGCCACACGTCCACCATGTACATGTACATGTACGTGATGTACAAAAACTTGTCGCATTTTTTTAGATGTCTAGTTTTCGTGAAATTTCATGATGAAATTTTGATACGAAAACATGTGCAAACGAATCTGAAACGGCAGCACTTTCTGATTAGACTTTAAAGAGGGTGAGTATGCTTCTAAAGCAAAAGTAAACTATAAACTAAGCCTAAATGTGGAAATCAAAATTTGACAAAGTGCGACAAGTTTTTGTACATGGTGGACGTGTGGCCTATGTTTACGGAGGTAGTCCTGTAAATTGGCCACATTTATAGGGTTAGACACTGAGAATCTCCTCTCGTTTAAGCAGTTGCTTTACATACTTGTCCATCTCTTCTTTCAGGTCATTATCCTCCTTCCAAGCGTCATTATGAGAGTAAAAACCGTCAGCACTAGGCCCCACGTTCGTGTCCTTCGGTTCCGCCATGACACCGATCTGTACTAAACTGTAAAGCTAGAGTTGCTACTAGTCCTTACCCTGTACTAGACTGCGCGATATTGGATACAGCGCGCGGCCCAACACCCCCACATAGAATTGTTTAACTCTATGCATCCCCATCGGCAAAGCACTGTGGGATACTGTGGCAACCATAGGCCGTCACGAATATGAAGTTCACTTTTGAAATCACTTTCATTTTGTGTAAAATCTACTTTCATTTTAAACATGAACTTGAAATTATTTATAAGCAATTTAAATTTGAAAATATTTTTATAAGCAATTTAAATTTGAAACTATTTTTATAAGAAATTTAAATTTGAAATTATTTTTATAAGCATTTTAAATTTGAAATTATTTTTTTATAAGAATTTTAATTTTGAAATTATTTTTATAAGAATTTTATTTTTTTTGAATTAACTTAAATAGTTTTTTAAAACATTTTGAAAAGAAAACTATGTAGGGCGGTAAATTTTGAAATATTTACTGAAAAAGGGGAACGGCAATGAACGGCCACCATACTGTTGTATAGATAATTGGTTATACAAAAGAAAGGGTATACAGACGGCTATTAGGGAGAGCACATAGCGGACGCACTTTTTAAGTGTGTTTTTGTATGCCGGTTCCCGATGAGGAGGTAATTGTACACATAAATCATATTTTAAGCGATGTATTGTTAGTTATTACAAGTGTACTGAACATGCCTATTCAGTAAAGGCCTTTCATAGCATTTAATTTGTTTTTCTTCTTCTTTTCTTCGCGTTTTATGCTTGATAAAATTTCAATATTTGAAATAACGGAAATACCTCAATGCCTTTATTATTCCAAGTAGGTGAACAGGTGTTATGACATTAATAAATGTAACTTTATAAAATATATAGAGGCCTATGAGTTATAAAAGACGACTAAACAAAGAGATACGAGACACGTAAATTAAACACAGCATCACATTTTACATTCTCATTTACAAGTTGGTGTCAACAGTTTATTTTATTTCACACCACACTAAATCAATGACAATTTAATGACTTCTATATAACGATATTCTTGCGCTTTTCGTGCTCACTTGATCAGTTCTTGCTCGTTTCATTCCTTGTTCATTTGGCTCATTTGCTCATTTCTTGCTCATTTGCTCATTTCTTGCCTGTTTGCTCATTTCTTGCTCATAATTTGCTCATTCCCTGCTCATTTCTTGCTCATTTACTTTTTTCTTACTCATTTCTTGCTCGTTTCATTCCTTGTTCATTTGGCTCATTTGCTCATTTCTTGCCCTTTTCTTGCTCTTTTCTTGCTCACTTGCTCTTTCTTGCTCATTTGCTCTTTCCTTGCTCATTTCTTGCTCATCTGCTCATTTCTTGCCCATTTGCTCATTTCTTGCTCATAATTTGCTCATTCCCTGCTCATTTCTTGCTCATTTACTTTTTTCTTACTCATTTCTTGCTCATTTCCTGATCAATTCTTGCTCATCTGCTCATTTCGCCGGCCATTCACAAATCGTTGCTATGCTCATTCTTTGATCATTGAAAAGAGATTTGAGGATGGGCGGCCAAATGAGCAGATGAGCACGAATTGATCAGGAAATGAGCTAATGAGCAAGAAATGAGCAAATAAGCAAGAAAAGAGCAAGAAATGAGCAAATGAGCAAAAATGAACAAGGAATGAAACGAGCAAGAAATGATCAATTGAGCACGAAAAGCGCAAGAATATCGTTAAATAGAAGTCATTAAATTGTTATTGATTTAGTGTGGTGTGAAATAAAATAAACTGTTGACACCAACTTGTAAATGAGAATGTAAAATGTGATGCTGTGTTTAATTTACGTGTCTCGTATCTCTTTGTTTAGTCGTCTTTTATAACTCATAGGCCTCTATATATTTTATAAAGTTACATTCATTAATTTCATAACACCCGTTCACCTATTTGAAATAACAAAGGCATTGAGGTATATCCGTTATTTCAAATATTGAAATTTTAAATTATTTGGTCCAATCAACATCATCAAGCATAAAAAGCAACAAAAAAAAAGAAGAAACTTTTGAATGGCCCCTTAGTACCATTGGCATTGGGATACTATTCACAGTCAGTTCGCAGGATAGTCCACTCTGTGTCCCTCCCATCGGGTCAAAATGCACAGCCAGGCCGTACCACCGTCACCTCCTCACCCTTGGAGATGGATGATCATAGTTTCTCGCTTCTTTTGGGCCTTCATTTGCCTGGGAAGTTTCAAGTCGCTGGGCGTGCTCCTACCCCATTTTGTGGACAGTTTGTCCCCCACTACGGCAGTGGCTGGCTTGGTTAGCAGTTTCATGCTAGGTTTTGGCCTGCTGAGCTTCGGTAAGTCTATCGGTCGAGGCCATAGGTTTTAAGTGCTTTATACTCGGTGATTATCCGAACATTTAGAAATCTCAATACTGTGTGTGCAGGGGCGTAGCACGGTCATTTTTATGTGGCGGGGGTAAAAAATTGTTTTAAAGGGCACTTGCACATCCGTTGTGAATTGTAGACAGGGGGCGCTGTTCAAAACCGACAATTATGCACACAAAGGGCCAATATATGGTGCTTTTCAGGGCGATACATGTGCGAAATTCTGAAAAAGGCACCCAAAACGGCAGCCTGCCAGAAAAAAAAGGCTCAACTTCTTTTTTGAAAAGGGCACTTGTTAAAAAAAAAAGGCACTTCGTAAAAAAAAGGGCAATCTTTATAAATTAAATAATTGGGGGGCACGTTGAACAAAGGGCATTTGAATGGAAAAAGGCAGTATTTACAAAATATTGGGGGGTAAATAGCCCCTTACCCCCCCCCCCGACATCCCCCCCCCCCGACATCCCCCCCCCCCCCCCCCCCACCCATCCACCCCGCTGGCTACGCCTATGGTGTGTGAGAGTCCAAAACCTTAAGGTATTGAAAACATGCAGTACAAGAAAATAGACTGACACGTAAAACAACCAGTCCAACAAAAATACTACATCAATCAACTGTGAAGAAACATCTGGCATGTCTGGATCTAGTCTCTATATCTACACATTTCTCCACAGTCATGAATGGAAAATATTAAAGAAAAAAGTTTTCTTTAAATATTGAATGGAGTCTTCAAATTAAATATCGAGTCTTGAAATTTAGTTGCTGAAGTATTGCAGACCTTTTCTTTGCCCAATGACAATTGTGGTGAATTTTGCTGGCTAAAGAGTGAGTAAAAATGGCCTTATTTTAACTGACAGGCAGCACGAATTCGCCCAGGGTAAATCGTGTTTGACAAACTTGCTTGAAACACTAGAAACGGTTACCCATGACCAGTGGCGTCACCAGACTTTTCAGTCTGGGGGGGCACAGGGGGGCACCAGCATTTGATGGGGGGGGGGGCACTTAGGTGGATACGGATCGCCGTCCTGGGGGAGGGGTCTAAGGGGAGGGGGTGCCCCCCTCCCCTTTGGAAAATGTTTGCATACGGAGGATGGGCTAGATGCAAAATGGTGCCACATTTGATGCTCATTTGAAGAAAATACGAATTACTGTGCTTCTTTGTCCTTATGAAAAACCAACTCAGATGATGGGAGTTGAATATAACAAAATATATATATTTTTTTATACCAACCCAAATCTCAGATGGGGGGGCACTCGGGGGGGCACTAGGTTTTCCAGGGGGGGGGGGGCACGTGCCCCCCCCCCCCCCCCCCTTGGCGACGCCACTGCCCATGACCTAGACGAGGGCAGCGGTAGACATCATCTTTTTCGGCCTTCGACTCAGTCCCACATAGACGACTACTAGGAAAACTGTCTACGTATGGAATTGAAGGAAAGATAGCCAAGTGGGCGATTGAGGGTTTTCTAGTTGACAGATCTCAGGTAGTAGCAGTAAGGAATGCTGGATCAAGTCATGCAGACGTTGCAAGCGGAGTTCCTTAAGGCTCGGTCCTAAGGACCGCTTCTTTTCATCCGGCACATCAACGACTTACCTGGAATAGTAAATTCAATCGTTCAGATGTTCGCCGATGATAGTAAAATGTTCACAACGATAAAGTCACCGGAAGACGCAGTCAAACTTCAAAGTGATATCGATGCACTGCTGAACTGGTCCAAGATATGGCTCCTACGATTTATGCAGACAAATGCAAAACCATGCATATGGGAAACAACAACCCAGGATGTGTCTACCATGCAGATGAGAGACACCAAATTACAGGAAACAGCTCAAGAAAAAGACTTGGGAGTGTATATCTGCAACAACTGTAGGAAAGATTCCCACATCTGGCCATCAGTAATTTTCCCCTTAAATGACCTATCAGCCATCAGAGAGTGATACTATGTCCTAAAAAGTGGAAATTAGCAGGGACAAATTGAGTTTTTACTAAGAAAACACTTAGAAATGTTTAGACCAGTCCCATAGGTTTGTGTACAGGGTTACAAGTGATGGCCAGATATGGGATTCTTTCCCAACTGTAAGTCGTCTGTTCAGTGTACAAAGTCTGCTCAGAGTTATCAAAAAAACTTTCAAGCTGATAACCAAGGATAGTTTTGCTGTTTTGTACAAAACATACATAAGGCCTCATCTTGAATACTGCGTCCAAGCATGGAACCCAGGACTGCGGAAAGACATCTACACATTGGAGAAAGTGCAAAGAAGAGCAACCAAGCTGGTTCCTGCTGGAGGACATCTTAGCTATCCAGACAGGCTAGAGGTACTCAACTTGTATAGCCTAGAACAAAGGAGATCAAGAGGCGACCTTATAGAAGTGGTCAAGATTTTCAACGGATTTGACAAAACAAAACCAACAAGATTCTTCAAAATCTCCAACACAACAGAAACAAGAGAACACAACATGAAGATCTTTCAGACTGGGATGAACAAAGCTCTGAGATGCAGGCAAGATTTTTCTCCCAGAGAGTAGTCAACACCTGGAACAATCTACAAAATTATTTTGTGAATGCCAAGACTACAAATTCTTTCAAACATGAGCTCGACGGGTACTGGAAGAGATATGGGGCCATAAAAGCTTATGAAGCCTAATTGATACTTATTCCCATTAAATCGTAAGTGTAAGTGTTAGTGATTTTGTTTTGCATGTTTATCAGCACTCGAGGTCCAGTCTGGCTCAGTGATGAGTGATACACTCGGTGGATCGGTCGGGTCGGTTGGTCAGTCGGTCACCGGTCGGTCGGTCGTTTGGTCGGTTGGTCAGTCAGTTTTTTCCCTTCCCACTTGTAAGAACCGAGCATAGACTTGGACCATTCGTTTTGCCTCGTACAGTACAGGGCCTGGGAGTAAGGCTTTTACACAGCTATCCAATGCTGAACAATGGATCGAGTTCATCTCCTACCGCAAAGCATTAATAAGAATAGGCACTTTTTGTTCCCTTGTAAACCGGACAAGAGTTGCGGGAGGGACGTAGTTTAAGTTGGAGAAACTACCCAAAAGGTGGAGATTCTTTGATTCATTCGAATAAAAAAAATCTCCACTTTTTCGTCGTTTCTCCTAGACATAATATCAGATCAGCCTCTATCCTTCAACTTTGTTAGGCCCTTGTAAACAAAACAATTCCTCCAACCTGTCGTCAGACATTAAGGACAGTTCTATATTTAATTAGTCACTCAACAAATCACGTAGACAACGAAATCATTTAGAAGAATTTACAGAAAATTCAGTATTTGTTTGTACTGAATGAACGTATTCTACTATAATTCCTTTTTTTGGCCACTGTGTGGTTAATTACTACGACCACTTCTCTTGCTTCTTTGAATAATTTTATGGCTTTTCTTTGCTTGGTATTTGAAGAATAACGACTCTCCCTTTTTTTCAATCAATTATTCTTTCGCCAAACTTTTTGGTGTATTTCCCTATTATAGAAAGACACCAAAAAGTCGAACCTGCAACCGTGCAGCTATATACCAGTGCAAGAAATACGAGAAAAAAAACTTCCTATAAATAAAAGTGAAGAGTGCAAATAATAATGGTCTTTTATTTTCTCTGAACAATGTGTTTTTTTTATATTCTCCAACTAACTTTGTTTTTAACTCATATTGCCTCTGAATTCCATATTCTTTCGATAACTTGTTTTTAACTAATCTTTGCTCAACACGTTTAAATTGCATACAGTTTTATTCTTAATAAGTGTCTTGGGTGCATTATACTTTTATTGTCGTTCCTTTATCCCGCGTGTAGTCGTTAATTGTTCCATTGATTTACTTTGTTATGTGTTATGTTTTTATTTCACACGTTATGTTCTCTTTTAAATCTGTTTACTTTTACTTCTTTACATCTTCTTAATCGTCTTTAAAATTGGTACTTCTCTTTTTTATATTTTTCCTTTACAAGAATAGTGTCTATAAGGCCAGCATCTGTGTCTAATGTTGCCACCCTACCAAAGCAAAACTTCAGATAAAAAATAAGGACGTAACTTATGATAATAATTATAACCACCTTGGATGTTGGTTGTTTCATTAATTAAATAAAACAAAAGACACGTCTACACTGAAGCTGTTACGGATGTCATGGCCGGCCCGCCACGGCGTACCGTCGATCGGTGATCTCGACCTGTCGGCCACAGGAGCACCAGAAACATGACGGCGGCGCTGAAGATGCCCACGGCCAACGCCAGGCCGTTGTAGGCCAGCCGGTAGGGGCGGTTGTCGTACAGCAGGCACGCCCCTTGTTGGCCCGCGCACGATTCCTGCCACACTACGCACGCCCCGTCGATAACCATTCCGAATACCTGGCCTGAGGCGACAACCCCTAAAGAAAAAAATAGAATTACAGGTCATAGGCAGTGGTGTATATAAACTGGGGTCAAATTTGCTGGGCACAATTTGCTTTTCAACCCCCCTCCTTCCCCCTCCCCGCTCCCCCTCCCTCGGATCCCCCTCCCCTGAAAATAATCCCAAATTCTGATGTGCCTTTGACAATAAGTTGCTTAACTGGGCACGCCTTACGAAAAATGTCCAAAGTATTTTTTGTTTGTTCTACAACACATCATCTGACAAGAGGGGGCGCGGTTAGAGTTTCCAGTGACTACTAGGCAGCCTCGTTCCCCATGGGTACGATCTTGCTGCGCCATGTTGTTTCCCATCATGCCTTGCGCGATCTTAACCCCTGTAATTGTGTAATTTAAATGTGTCAAAATATGGAACATTATAATTAGGCTGCAGTTTATCCGTTTTACCTGCCGACGCCATCTTTAAAATGATAAAAGTTGTGACTCTGAAGTTCAATCCTTCCAATCAAAACGTTTGGACGTTGCGTTATCTAGCAAAGATTTGTATTAAATGTACGTACCCTTTCATCCCTTTACAACCGAAGATACAGGGGTTTTTTTAGCGAAAAAAACTAGGCTGCCATAATCCATATCGTACAGGCATCGCTACTTTTGAATAACAATTTTTTTCGCACGCAACCTCGTGCCCCGTGGGTACGATCTTGCAGCGCCATGTTGTTTCCCATCATGCCTTGCGCGATCGTAATCCCTGGAATTGTGTAATTTAAATGTTTCAAAATACGGTACATTATAATTAGGGCTGCAGTTTATCCGTTTTACGTGCCGACGCCATCTTAAAATGTTAAAAGTTGTGATTTTGAAGAATCAATCCTTTCAAACACAACGTTTGGACGTTGTGTTAATTAGCAAAGATTTGTATTAAATGTACGTATCCCTTTCGTGCCTTTACAACCACAGATACAGGGGTTTTTATAGCGAAAAAGCGGCTGACATAATCCATATTGTACAGGCATCGCGACTTTTGAATCCGATTTTTTTTTTCGTACGTGACGTTACGTGCAAAGCACGCGATCGCATTATGGGGCGCCGGCGTGCAATCTTCGAAATGCGCGCGCAGTACGCTGTGAGTAGCCATTCAGCGTCATTTACGTCATCATCACAGCCAGGGGTTAGTGTAAGGAACGAGCACGCGCCCCTGGAGTCGAGGCTGTTTCGCACGTGACGTTGCGTGCAAAGCACGCGAGCGCATTATGGGCGCGCCCGGCGTGCAATCTTTTAAATGTGCGCGCAGTACGCTGTGAATATAGCCAATCAGCGTCATTTACGTCATCATCACGGCCAGGGGTTAGTGTAGGGAACGCGCCCGCGCCCATGGAGTCGAGGCTAACTACTAGGTGACGCCCTTCACGGCCTCTTTAATTTGTCGAAATGTATTGCCAAAAACTATACCGAGGACATCATCTGCCAAGCACCACACAAATACATAGCCACGCCTCTGTCCCGTTCCCAAATTGTATATTCTACCATGCAAAGTCTAAAAATGCATTGTAAAAACTGTGCTATAGTGCCTCTAGAATTGTATTTTTATAACTTCATCACGCGTCATCATAACTTCATGAGCTTACCAATAACTTGCGTCAAATAGGCCACAGATAACGCCACAAGTCTGCTCTCTGACGTCACTGACCTGTTTCAGAGAACAAAAATAGACGTGAAGCATTGATGTGACGTCGATATCAAGCCGGGTACTCACAATCACAAGTCAAATTTAATAAGTCAGTCAAAAGTCTAACTGGAAGTTATCGCGTCACAACTATCACTTATCAGGTAATTTGAAAAGCTTATTACTCGTGCAAGATTATTTTTGAGGACTTGTAAGGACTTATGAGGGTTTGTGAGAACTCGTGGGGACTTGTGAGGACAATGTGAACTTGTGAGGAAGTTTGAGGACTTGTGCGGACTTGACTACAACTTCGTTTTCTGTTTCACTGAGGTTTTAGACCCTCCAAATTCTTCGAGTCGGCCCCCCCCCCCAAAAAAAAGAAAACTGAAAACGTTGGCCTTGCCAAAGTTATGGGCCTTAGTGTAATAAAAAAAAATTACAGACCTTGGTTGAGTTTTCGCTACTTTTGCCTTATTGTCTCAACCCCGTCATAATTAACTTACCTCACGATTATTGTAAGACGGAGGAGATCTCCGAAAGTCGCCAAGACAAAGACGCCAGTCAGAACGAGGAGAAACGGCACGGCAGATGTACACTGTGTCCCGCAAGCGCCGTCTACGACGGAGGCAGAACGAGCGGTGGAGTACAAACTTCCATCGCCGAGCATCATCGGGCATGCGCAGTCGGAGTAGTTGCCCTGCATTTTCAGAGTAAAACGGGTTAAAGAAATCTGAATCCAAGGGGAAGTTTGAAGCAGTCTACCTACTGGTGTCAAAATATTCAGTCAACTATTATTTCATTCGTATATCACTTATCGAAAAACAACCTTTTTCTTTAAATTAACAGAAAAATTAAAAATGGTTTCATTTAACATGGTATTAACCTTTGGGATAGTCCGAATGACGCAATTAAGGCATCCTTTACTCTTTGTTCCCACCCCACCCCCAAAAAAAAATTAACTAAAACATAATTTTAATGACCTTTCCGCCGATTATTTACGAGGTAACTTCTCAGCTTATAGACGAACACGACTTGGACTTGGCTATGATGTCATTTGGAAGGCCTCAGATAGCAAGCTAAATTATTTTAGGAAATCATTTTCATTTTACTTGGGCACCGATGACGTTACATCCGGCGTGGCACGGTGAGAAATACGTCAGACCTGCATTGGAGCACACGGGTGCGTACAGGGCCATGGAGCACGAGCAGTTGTGGTTGCAAGGTGCTTCCAAATCAACAGAAGCCGAGCTGCATAAGATAAAGAAAACAAAAGAAAAAGGGGAGAGTAAATTAGAAAGGCATGACAGTATCAAGGACTGGACGTCGTGAAGATGCAATCTAAGCACGCAGTTGTTTTGCTAAAATACAGAATCTCCGTCCCGTTTGAGGGGGCGTATGCAGTATAACCGTTTCGAAGACTTCACTCGCACCCACTGCCCTATAAACGTTAGTCTAGGGCAACTCCTATTAGTTGTATTATGCGCACGCACCTATTTGGCCTAATATATGCAGCGTGCAATTCAGAAAAATCATGGTAGTTCCGAAGCAAACTCTCAAATTTCTTAAAGTACAATAAAAGATGCAACAAGACCTTTGTGCAGCTTCACTGGTCAGCTCTTTTGCTGTGAGTAATATGTGTGGGACTGAAAATGGACCGTTATTGCCTGCAAAAGTCGCGCATGCATGCGCACTGGTTTCCCTCATTTTTCGGGGGAAGATTTCAGGAGACACCCTGGGCCAAGTTCGGGCAAGGACCATTAGTCGACTAATGGTTGATTTGTGACGTACCTTACGCCTGCGCACTAATAGCAATGTGTCTCTAGTCAAACGCTGGTCAATGTCATCGCAAAACTTCTGGGCCCTGGCTCCCTTGCTGTACGTTATGAATGCGCGCGGCTATTGGTTACCAGTGATGCAACCAGCCCCAGTAAGTTGGTTCCAAATAGTCGACTAGCGTAGTCAACCACCGTCCACTAGACAGAGTTCGGGCTAACTTTAGTCGAACTATGGTTAACCAATGGTCTTGCGCGAACTTTCCCTTTGACGTTGCTACTGACAAGTCCGTGGGCGATGTTGGTTGCTCGTGATAGCGACCTCTCGCGGCAGCAGGTTATCGCGGCGGCGGGTTACGCGTATCAAACCATGCAACGTCTAGCCCCTAGACTAAAGGGCACTGGTGAGTAAATTTTCTCAAGCCGGGGAAAGATTATATAAGACAAGCCCCGGAGAGCTTGGGAAGAAGGCATCCATCCTTCGTGCATCAGTTCTGCAAAATGTTAGTCAACTCAGGGGGGAGGGACGGTTTGTCTTAAACCGTTTCGAAGCGTGCACTTCAATCTCAAATTTGTCATTATTTTGTCGGCCCCTTCGTGGAAAATGTAATAGCTCGAAAGAATGCATGTGGTACGTCTGAATGTTATGAAACTGGTCTCAAAACGTGTGCAAGACGTTAATTGTATAATCATTCAAAGGCTAGGTAAGGCTTGGCGCTAGAACCAAGTGCATTCACGTGGCAATGATTCGGGAAATGTACTGTCCCGTCCTTCGTTTGACCCTGGGTACGTGACCTCATGATTTAAAAAAGAACCCCCAAAACACAGCCCTCACGAGGAGGTAGGACAAACATTAAACCTTTCAAGTTATTCGCATCATGCGTATAAACGGGGCCGTATCGTAACTCCGACGCCTCATAAGACCTGAGACTCTGAGACTGTACTTGTGTAGCCCTTTAAAACCAGGGATGACAACTTTGGGAACTTAGTCGTAAATGTTGTCTCTCTAGCAGTCATCATGTGGTAAGGGCTACCTCAAGATGTACAAAAACTACTGGTACGAAGCCCTTTCTACGCGCCACACATCATTCGATATAACAATTATGTTGTGTACGTATGAGATGTACCAGGAGCGATTTTCAACCTCTTGTGCCTTTGGGAGGTGTAGATTCCCTACCTGCTCACGCCATCGTAGGTGGAGAACACACCAACTACGTTGTCGTTGGCGCAGCCTATAACCATGAGCAGAGCCATGCCGACTACACACGCCGTCAGCACGACGCAGGTCAGGCGGACGGTACCGTGCAGTGTTAGCTCCAGTTTCTTCACCAAGAAACCCGCCAACAGTTCCCCAACGGCGTAGGCAGGGGCGAGCAGCACACCTGTTGAAAACACGTGCGGATAAATCATAGCTATGAAAATAATAAATAATATAGTGTATATTTATAAAGCGCGTGTAACCACCAGTTTTAGTGCCAAAGGCGCCACATCATTATTGCCCCTGCTCACTTGAGTCAATGAAACATTTCAAAGACCATCTCATGGGGAGCACACAGCTCAATTCTTCCATTTCAGCACGAAACAGCTTAAATCAATCACTAATCATCTCTGCCGTCACGGGTTTAATCCTGGGTGGGGAGAAGCAGTAAATGACAAAACATCTTGCAAAAGGACACTCACACAAGCTAGCATACGTTACATACCTAGTGTGGACATTCTTTTGTTTTCGTGTAGTTATGAAAAACCTGTGAAAAAAATCATTTTACTCACACTGTGAAAACTCTTTCAACCCAATTTTTTTCAATGATTCCCTTTAGTGTTTCTCTTCATTTTGCCACGGATAAACCTAACCCCAAAATGCCTCTAAACCTGTTTTCCGGAGAGGAGGAAACATTGTGTGGACGTGGGCAAGTCCACACAACGTCGCTGCTACCAGCAGGTTTTTGTGGACAACTTGTATAGGGAAGTCCACACTGTGAATGTGATGCTTGTAGACACAGACACACAAGTGTGTATTCGCCTGAAATCGGGGACCCCCTATTGTCCTTCTTTTGATTGTACTTTTTTACACGAATCAAAATTGGGGACCTCTCGGGAATTGGGGACCCTATTGTCCTCTATTGTTCAACGTCCCCTAATGAATGCAGAAACAAACTCACACACACACAAGACCTGCAGAGTTACCTGCAGTTCATGAATTCAATGCTCCAGACCACGAAGAGTCTCAACACATTGCGTCAGTAACCGTCAAAACAATGGACATCAATGTTTCATTATCCTTTCTGTAGGTTCGATGGGCACAATATGAGAGCGGTATTTAGAGTGGGTAAATATGAGTAACTACTACAGAGTTTGCCCTATCCAAAATAACAGTGGCGTAGCATTCGAGGAGGGTCCCTTATGTTTTGTCGCAAGAGTCCTTTTTTTTAGCACAAGTGCCTTTTTTAACAATTGCCTTTTTTAACAAGTGCCCTTTTTGTCATGGGTGCCCTTTTTAAAAGCGTTCCGCGAACGTCGACAGTTGTGCAGCCATGACGAGCGCCACCTTTTGTCCCATAGTGTCCACGAACGTCCGCTTTGAACATCACCCTAGTTGAAAAATGGTGTAAAGTTTCCAACCAAATTGCCGAGGAATTCAGTAGCGAGTTATAATCTCCCTTGACTATATATATTTCTCTCAGATCATTGTAACTGCATAGAGTAATAACGGTCCTGTTACATCATGTATTCCAAACATACCTGTCAAGAGATCAGCAGTCTGTCTGTCGTACCCAAACTGTACCTCCAGATACTTGGGGACGAATATCCCGTAGCCGTACATGATGAAATAGAAGGTACTCTGGGACAGACACGTCAGGGAACATGTCGGGTTCTTCAAAGTCCTCCAGACAGTCCACATGAACTCTGTATCAACCGAAAAAATCCCACCACGATTACAAAAACTAACATCAACGGAGTTTATTGTTTTTGACAAAAGATACTAATCACACTGAAAGACACTGATCACTGTTGCCCGTCATAATTAAAGAACACAAATTTCCTTCCCGATTTTTTTCTTCAATTTCTACTCGTAGGTTAAATAAACAGTAAGCCTACGTAACATCGCGTACTGCCAAGACGTCCACAAACGGATTGTAGAGGTTGACAACGATTATGATGAATACGTCATTGACTTCGAAATGATAGGGGTTTAAAAGCTCGTGGCTTTCTAAAAGGCCGAAAGTGCCATCAAAGTCTAATCCGGTTACATGTTAATGCATGCCTGTTTTTCCTCAAACAAATCCAAATCGTGGGTGAAACAGAATTTCCTTTGGTCTTGATTAACTGTCACACTTCCAGAATAATCAGGCCGATTTTGTCCCTTCCTTTCCAGGATGGATGAAAAAACCTGCAAGGTGTCATTCGACAGGATCACAAAATGTTGGCAGTTTATCTCACTGTTTTTGACGGAGCAGCGGAACCGCTGATTGAACACTAGGAGGTGAAACATTAATAATAGGAAGGGAAACCTGAACCGACGTCATTTGCAGTATAGTTCTGCTATGCTCAATTTTTGTGCCTCTGCCATTTCTTTTCTTTTAAAAAGCGGCTGGAAGGGCTTAGCTTACACCACAACATTCACATCATGAAACGTTTGTGACGTAATTCACCGAGTTATTTAATATTCGCGAATTTCGTAGCCCGTAAAATTGGCGTGACGTCACAAAATTGCAGTAGCACGCACATTTTGCGCCGAGTATAAGCCGGACATACTGAATAATGGCGGCCTCGCTTTTAAAGAAAGGCCATTTTGGATTAGTTACTTATTATGCTTACCTTTGATGTCCAAAAACTGATGGTTCCCTTCGTTGTCGTTCTCAGCCTCGTGTGTCTCGTTACTTGTGAACTTCTCCGTTGTCTCGTGCTCGTCATCAGGCTGGCGATGTGCTGATGACGGCATCCGGCGCGGGAAAAGCGGGAAGAGAGCGGCCGAGAGGCAAAAGAGAACAGCAAGGACGATGAAGCCCAGCCACCACGCTCCGATCCAGTCCGGGTCTCCCGGGCCCAGGGACAGGTCGGTCTCAGCTCCAACCAGCCGGTAGAAGTCCACCCAGATACCGATGAAGGCTGCGGCCAGCATGACCCCGACAACTGGTCCAATGCCCAGGACCGCATTGATGATGCCTGAAATCGAGACGTGCCGCAGGTTTTAAAACTAAAACCATTGATAAAAGGAGCGTTACCACAATTACCCTCCAGGCATATTGTACCCTACAGTTGTGTCACTGAAGAGTCACCGAAGAGTGCAGTTATCCAGATCCAGCCCCCCCCCCCCCCCCCCCCCCCCCCCCCCCCCCCCCCCCCCCCGTTATTTGTTCTCAATCGGCTGGGGGATGCCGGTGACAATGTCATTTTAAACGAAGTTACCACATTTTTACTACACTTAGTCAGCTGGCTTATGGTAAGTAAATATCATCTCACATATGCAATTCGAAATTTTCAGGGATTATGAAACACTATAAAACCAAAATCCACCTGATGCCAATTTCAATCCCAGCAGAGTGTTTTCCTAGTATTGTTCTTTAGCCGAAGTGAAGAATATACAATTGAATACCATTTTATTATGATGTGACATGTAAACATTCGTCCTCCCCGTTCACTATGATACTGGATGGGAAACAAACCACAAACGAAAAGTGACATATAATTATCTGAATCGTTTTCTGCGCGCGAAGCCCCCAGGTTTTTAAAGTAATTACCCGCCCATAAAAGACATCAAGTGGTTTTGAACTTCTTGAGGTATCGTTAAGTCATGATCCTGTGAGTTTCAAGCATTGTACCCCAAAACGAATATGGGCCCCAACAAGCCGACTGGCTAACTGTTATCAACAGGCAATACACTCGGAGGTGAAACTTTGGGAATGCGCGTAAAACGGGGATTGTACGAAATGGTGCATTTATACAACACTTGCATAGAACACCTACTAAATGCAGAAATGGCGCATCCGCCCCTACTACCCGGGAACAATATAGGCGGTGGGGCACTTAATGAGGACTTTTCTTATGGGGATTTAAACAACAGAAAGTTCATTTTTGCCATACCAAAAAATAAATCCCAAAGGGGGGGGGATGTTACCGGCCTCCAGCTCAGGGGCGGTTAGTCCCATAAATGTGACGGAAATACTGGACTACCTCCACATTTAACGTCACATATCCCACATGTGGTATAAGCACGGAGGGTCCCGTTGCTAGGGGAGCCGAAAATTAATTAAAGATCGAAATTATTTTATCAGCAGAAAATCAACCCAGCTATAGTATGCCTGCTAAATAGCACAAAATCGTTAAATTTGGTACCTTCAGAGGTCTAGTTATCCAAAAATCATGGTAATTCGTCAAAGAATGCAGACGGTTTTGAAAAAGCATGGCGTCTCTGATATTTACCAGACTGTTTCCCGGCCACCCTAATTATAGTCAAAAGGCCAATGGGGTCAGGGGATCAGACAAGAGCTTTAATCATCTACTGAGCGTGCGTCAACTTTGGCAAAGCGCAGCGTTGCTGTTGCCTGTCATTCCAAAATCTTTGAAGCCCTCTGCAGTGAAGCGCGCCCTCTTGATGCGCTCTTCATCCGCGGCCGCGTATTGCATCCGGGTACTTCACAGAGCGCCAAAGATTTTGGAATGACAGGCAAGTGATAGCAACAGTGCGCTTTGCCAAAGTTGACGCACGCTCAGTAGATGATTAAAGCTCTTGTCTGGTTCCCTGACCCCATTGGCCTTTTGACTATTGTAAAACCAACATTTAGACTGACCCTGAGCACACATCCCTGATACCACTCTCACAACAGGTGTTCCACATTACACCCAAGGTCTTCACGTCACTCTTTTCCAAGCAATACACCCACAGCATACCAAGACTGTGATTTAACCCTTGTACAGGGGAAAGTGACCTCATAAGGGTACTCCCCCAGACTGACCATTACGTCAGTCTATGGTCAGTCTACCTTTACTCAGAAATGATGTCATATAAGTTATGTTTTCCTTATATGACATCATCTCCTATTTTCACTCCAAGTGGTCCCTCTGAAACTGTATAAAATGTCCACATTTTCCCACTTTCATTGAGTTCTTCTTCTTCTCCCTGGGAAACCAGAGGCATAGCCATAAGCTGATTCAGCCCTATGCTCTGGCCAGTCTTCATCTACAAAACTCTTCAGAACCTCTGTCTTCTGTCTCCAACTTCTGTATTCTGGTACCCAGCCATACCCATAAGCTGATGCAGCCGTATGGTCTGAGGTTATAGTTCTGTACATACACAATCCCGGTAGAATATTGAGTTCTTGAAAATAAACCAGTTTTCCATATAGCCGAGCTCATAGTCATTACCAGTGTGTCTTTGTATAATCTTCGTAGTCATCAGTTCATCCTGCTCTTAGCCACAGCTACCCTATCCTAACATATAGTATAGTCAAACAACCCAAAGACTATAGCCAAATCCATATGTTACACTATAATTAGCGTGGCTGGGAAACAGTCTGGTAAATATCAGAGACGCCATGCTTTTTTCAAAACTTTGGCAAAGCGCACTGCTGCTGTTGCCTGTTATTCCAAAATCTTTGAAGCCCTCTGCAGTGAAGCGCGCCCTCTTGTGTGCGAACTTCATCCACGGTTAGCTCGTACCCCCCCCCCCACCCCCCCCGTCCCTGCAAACAGGACGCTGGGATACTCTGATGAGCTTCACAGAATCTTGTGAAGGAAATGGCCTATGACCTATGTATAAAGAATCTGGCTGCAGCTGTTCAAGACCGTAGTTAAACAATGGGCGCAAATGCTATCCGAAAACTTCCCATAGAATTGCGCGAATTCCATACCGGATGTGATTTCTGTTTCATTGCGGACCATGTGGACAAAATTTTGAGCATCGCATAATGCAATCAGAACGTTCGTGATTCGAAACGGAGCCTGAGCGAGTGACGGGAATTGTAAATTTAAAACACAGATAAGTTAAACAGAATTTCCTACATTATTACGCTTTTCAACGAGAAAAAAACATCTCTAAACTGGAATAAAAGAGTAATGAATCAGTCTTAAACGGCCGTTTCAAACCTTGCAGAGTCATGACCTTGATGACGCGCAGCTCACTGGTCACGCAAAATCCAGCCAATAAAATCAGAGCGTGAATTCATCAGAGTATCCCAGCGTCCTGTTTGCAGGGCGGGGGGTACGAGCGAACATCCACGGCCGCGTATTGCATCCGGGTACTTCACAGAGCGCCAAAGATTTTGGAATGACAGGCAAGTGATATGCCAAAGTTGACGCACGCTCTGTAGATGATTAATGCTCTTGTCTGGTTCCCTGACCCCATTGGCCTTTTGACTATGATTAGGGTGGCCGGGAAACAGTCTGGTAAATATCAGAGACACCACGCTTTTTCAAAACCGTCTGCATTCTTTGACGAATTACCATGATTTTTGGATAACTAGACCTCTGAAGGTACCGAATTTAACGATTTTGTGCTATTTAGCAGGCATACTATAGCTGGGTTGATTTTCTGCTGACAAAATAATTTCGATCTTTAATTAATTTTCGGCTCCCCTAGTAACAGGACCCTCCGTGCTTATACGACATGTGGGATGTGTGACGTTAAATATGGAGGTAGTCCAGTATTTCCGTCACATTTATGGGACTAAGGGGCGGTATTCACACCATTTAATGGGGTTGTAAATAAAAAATATCCAATCTTGCCTCCCCCAATTTCTGAGCGGGGCACGAAAGGGAGAGAGAGTTCCCCAGCAAAGGGGGGGGTGGCGTGGGGCCCCATAAGTACACCACTTCTACCCGTGGCAATCTTCACAAATGTCAAACACTTTTCTGTCTCTGACTTCATACTTAGTCTTTGTCCGTCAGTCAATCGTGTCAAAAACAAATGTTGTTGGTTTAATTTGGCGGCGTGCTATCGCTCAGTGTTTCCCTTACCCATGTAAACCGCAGTGGTTCCAGGCGATGAAAAATCAGCTACGTATGCCATACCGATCGGATAGGATATCATACCAACGCCTTGCAAAAACATCCCCAGGTAGAATAGCGACATGGAGGCAGAATCGACGGCAACATCGTCACTCACAGATGAACATTCCTCGGTGATGTCCGAGTCGTAACAGGCAGAAGTCTCGCCGGCGAAGCCCTGCGTGGAGTTGTCGCCAGTTGCCAGCACAACACTTGGGGGAAGGTAAAGATCATGAAGAAAGGCCGGCAGGGCATACATCAACCCACCAAGGCCAAGTGATATCCCAGAGACACCAAGCAGGCAAGGCTTGCAGCCTGGGACCACCGTGCCGACGCAGAAGGCCAGGAGGATACCGAGGATTCCCCCGACGCAATAGACGGTAGTCATGCTTCCCAGCTCGCTCAGCGTGAGCTGGAAGTGAGCTTCCACGGTGGTGATGGTGCCCGTATGCATACCAATGTTGATGCCATCGATGGCTGTGTGGACACACATTGCCACCAGAAACACCCAGGGCCGGGCCAAGCGCTTTAGGAAAGGCGGCTCCCAGCAACAAATGCCGCACCCATCCGCTTCGCGAGCCGGTAAAATGTCCAGAGTTTTCGAGTATTTTGCAGAAGATTCCGCCATGATATGTTCCTTCTCCCCATGCGCACGTGAAGCGGTCATGCCCGCGGCCGCTAATCCTCATTGGAATGCAGTTGCCAGCTGTGGTATGCCGTGGCACACGGCTAGTGGGTAGTTCCACAGCTGCTGCTTTTGTGCAGTCCCACTACCACACAAAGGCTGTGCAGTCATGCGGGCCACTTGCTCTATGTGTGGAGGAATGTCCCCTTACACCCCGTACTTAAGGGGTTAAGGAGAACGGACAAGGAACTGTGGATTCGTGCTTATGCAGTTCGCCTCCATTCTTGCGCGAATCTACAGTTCCTAGTCCATTCTCTGACTTAACCTTTTTCTTAAAACAACAATAGTTTATGCAAATAAGATCATGGTTTACCCACAGCATTCATAACGGAAATACCTCAATGCATTTATTATTTCAAATAGGTGAACAGGTGTTATGAAATTAATTAATGTAACTTTATAAAATATATATAGGCCTATGAGTTATAAAAGACGACCAAACAAAGAGATACGAGACACGTAAAATAAACACAGCATCACATTTTACATTCTCATTTACAAGTTCGTGTCAACAGTTTATTTTATTTCACACCACACTCAATCAATAACAATTTAATGACTTCTATATAACGATATTCTTGCGCTTTTCGTGCTCACTTGATCATTTCTTACTCATCTGCTCATTTCGCAAATCGTTGCTATCCTCATTCTTTGATCAGAGAAAAGAGATGGGCGGCCAAATGAGCATATGAGCACGAATTGATAAAGGAAATGAGCAAATGAGCAAATTATGAGCAAGAAATAAGCAAATGAGCAAGAAAAGAGCAAGAAATGAGCAAATAAGCAAAAATGAACAAGGAATGAAACGAGCAAGAAATGATCAAGTGAGCAAGAAAAGCGCAAGAATATTGTTATATAGAAGTCATTAAATTGTCATTGATTTAGTGTGGTGTGAAATAAAATTAACTGTTGACACGAACTTGTAAATGAGAATGTAAAGTGTGATGCTGTGTTTATTTTATGTGTCTCGTATCTCTTTGTTTAGTTTGTAACTCATAGGCCTCTATATATTTTATAAAGTTACATTTATTAATGTCATTACACCTGTTCACCTATTTGAAATAATACAGGCATTGAGGTATTTCCGTTATTTCAAATATTGACATTTTAAATTTTGGTCCAATCAACATCATCAAACATAAAAAGCAAGGTCCATTTTAAGGTAAAAGGGATCGGATTTCATGGAACTCTAAATTTCATTTGACACCGGAACAAAGTCGAGGTTTGAGAAAAAAACGTATGCCATGAGTTTACCTCCAGTCCTAATATCGACATCATGCGTGAAACTAATACACTGCATGACGGTTTTCGGGTAATGACTATTTGCTCGCCCCCATCACTCCAAGGCAGATTGTACCGTTTATCCTTTTTTTAAGGCTTAGAAGGAAACGCAAGCCTCGCAAAGAGTTGTGGGTACGTCACTTGCTATAAATGGTGTATGCACGTGGCGCCATTATAGGACACCGTGGACGAAAGAATTAGGGGTTGCAGACCAGTAAATAAACTGCCATATATAGACCCTAATGATAAATGCCCCCACTTCAGAAATTCGGGAAAAAAATCCTTACAACTCTCCAAGGTATTCGGGACACTCATCAAATCAAAGCTTATTACATCATCGTTAATTTTGTTTTCAAATTTATGGGGGTAACCTGATGACTTTTAGGAGAAATTTCCATTCGAAGACGATCACCCCTTAAAATAGTGCTGAAGCCCATCGCCATTTTGAAAAACGGTGTCTACACTCTATTGGAAAATAGAGCACTTTTAGGGCCCCAATTTCATCCAAACTTCACTGAAACTCAAGCTCACAGTCCTGTGCACGGCTTCCACCCATATTTGTTTACAAACCCTCATGGGCCACAATATGCTCAAATATTGAAGAGTTTGAGGACATGCAAATCGTGATTTAGTTATAAGCCGGCGTAGGCAATTTCGGACCGATTTACTGGCCTGGCACCCCTAAGGCGCTGTTCAGATGCTCGATGACAGTTCCCAAATGAAAGTGCTCAACGCGTATCAGATAATAACATCTTGGCATGCGCACTAATACTAATATAATACATGCAAAAACATGTCAAACGCTGGTAAAAACGTCACCAGGCTCCGGTTCAAAATAGTCGACTAGAGTCGTCCAACCATGCATCCTGCGTGCGAGTGAAGGTAGTCGAACTATATGGTTGTTTTCGCCTCAATGATGCGTTGAAAACAGCGTGGCTTGTGCGTGTGGCAATGATGCCAGTGTGGCAGGGAATTCTGCTCCCCCCCCCCCCCCCCCACACACACACACCCACCCACGCACACACTCTCCAGGGGACGGAATTCCCTAGGAAAACGTGTCCCCAAGCCAGGGGATTCTGCCCCCAGGGGAATTTTCCCCTAGTGTAACTCTATTTATACACTAAACTAATCTTTATAAGTGGTTCTAATTTTTTTTCTTTACATGCTCGTGATATTTGTTGACCAACATGAGAGATTATTTGCCCTTTTCTTGTATTTGTGTTATCTGGCAAAACGCGTGGAATCTGCGCAAAAGGAGCGGGGGACTATTAGATAAGCTTAGTAAAGTAGTTCCAGCGAGTCGTGCGTAGGGGATATCATCCGCATATGGGGGATTCTCCATTAGACCATAATCCCTGTTATGCGGACAGAATAACCTAGGATAAACTGTCTCGGGATTGGGATACACAATAACCTTCACAAGCCAAGCAACAGTTTTCTGGAGGGGGGGGGGGGGGCAGAATTTGGGGGGCACAGAAACTCCGTCCACACCGGTATGAACCAAAATTTCTTTTGAAACATTTACGAATTCGGTTTACATTCTGCTTGATTGACTGAACAGAATTGAATTAAGCAGAAGTGAAGAGAAAAACTCATGCATGGTGTTTTATTATTATTTTTTTTTAAAGATTGGAGCTGGGTGTGATGCCATATCCACTGATTTTTCAGATCAATGACCTCTGTCCTTGACAAGCTTTTCGGCTTGACCACAGAGTTACAGTCAACTCTCATTATAAAGAGCACTTTTATAATTTAAAGAGGTTCTGCTTACAAAGAGCAAATTCTGAGGTCCCAAATCTCAGGTTCTCTTTGTGTTTCTTTGTTTCGCTGTCCTTTTATAACAACATTCCTGTTATAAAGAGGTAATTTGGCTAGTCCCATCGACCTTGTTATCACGAGAGTCGACTGTAAATGGTATTACGGTCGTCAAATTTTCTGCTGAATTTCATTTATAGTCTAGGTCTACGCGTGATACCAATATTCGGCGAACGAAGGTTCATTCATCCATGCACTTTTAAGTGCATTAAAATGGTGTAATCAGGAAACAGAGGTCAACAGACACAATTGGTTTCTCCTTCCACGTCTCAGTTATATGAATACGTATATCTCTTATTTAATACGTGTCCCAACTTAACGAGGCACGTACGTACAACGACTCTGACAAGGGAATTTATTGTTCGTCTGCTTATAGAGCTCAATACCTTATGCGTTGCAGGTATCTCAGAGGGCGTTGTTTGTTTCTTTTAATTTTGTTACATTGAACACATCATGCCCTCTAACCATTGCCCTCTAACTCCGCCTTAAACGCATAAGGTCTATTTCAGCGGCGACATAAGCATGGAAGATCGCTTCATGCACTGTTTTTAAGACAACAAGCATATTCCCTTGGTTAATATAGTTGGCGATTCCATCACTTTTTTTGGTGTGGTAATTTCACACATAGGCTACATCTCGACGTACACAGCGCACATAGTGTGCCCGATGAAAATGTAATGGCCAACTAAAATGGTGATCAACATGCGACTTTTTTCCGGCAGGATAGTCGCATGTGTCCGGACCCCGTACTCACATCATTTTCTAATAGTGTATTGAATTCGCTGCGCACACGGTATTTCATTTTCATTTTGATTTTGATTAATGTAGCTGATAAGCTCCTGCAGGAACATTACTCGGCTTTGAAGGGGTGGGCATGATCGGGGATGGACTATTGATGAGTGCTGAAAGATCTGAGAGCATCACTTAATTGTTTGGTTTCAGTAATTTGCTGAGGGAGGTTGTTTCAATCATTGCTAGTCTGATAGAAGAATGAGTGTTGGAGTCCTTTGATATAGGGGATCTGAAAGTAGTTTTGAGCATCGGGTTTTTATTTCTGGCTGTCTCATGGTTATTTCAGGTAGAAGTTTAACGCCTATCTGTCCGGTGATGATTCTGTTTGAGTTTGTGAGGCGCTGTACATATCTCCTGTTTTCCAGGGTGGAGTTTCAGTTTTGCAAAAAGAGCAGTACCAGATGTAGTATTGTCCCAGCTATAGGTGGTGGTGATAAGAGGGGCAGCTCTTTGTTGAAACATCTCGATCTTCTGCTTATTGGTGGCTTTGAAGGGACTCCACACTGATGCACAGTAAACAAGATGAGGCCGGACTAATAGGCTTGGATTAATCTGCTTTACATGGAATGGCGCAAGTGTAAACGCGGTGGTAGTCAGGTGGCTTAGACCAAATTTTTGACAAGATCGTGACCGACTGGTCCAAAGCACCAAACCTGGCAGATATATTCATATTGTCTCAAAGAAGATAGCTAGAAGGGGTGACATATGAAAATCATCTGGGAAGGGTGCCTAATTTGCCTAAACTGTAAATATCAGCAGTGTAATATACTATTTTGATCCCATATTTGGGTATATTTTAAAAAAAATTGAAAAGTATATTTGGTGATTTTATTTCACTTACACATCCTTACACCAATAGCATTTTCTAAAGCATAAGTGACTGAATAATTACGAGGACATAGTAACGATCCAAAATGGCTACAATAATTTATACCCTAAAATTGCGCGCAATTCCCTTGTCTCCAGATATCATCAAGTAGTCTTGCTAAATCTCAGAATTGTTGGGCTTCAAAATCACCTAGTTTCTTACTGGCACAGTTACCCAATTAAACTTTATGAAAAATCATGTGAACAATGATAACATTGTGATATTTAGACCAGAAAGCAAAAACGGGGTTTTGAAAACAAGGTGTCCGTAAATTGGGCTAAAAGTAGGTGAAGGGTTGGCTAACGTGGGAGACTTGAACAAGTTTAAGGAAATTCACAAAATTATTTTTAAGGAAACGTTTCGACGTAGACATAATTATTGAAAACAACAATAATCTCTTATTTTGGGGGATTTCCTTCAACTTCTTCAGGTCCCCCATACCACGTCAGGCAACCCTTCGCCTAATTTTTAGCCCAATTTACGGACACCTCATTTATCCCACTTTTTGTTTGTATTTTTTTTAAGGGGGGGCTAAATATCAATATGTTGACATTTTTTGCCACATGATTTCCCTTTTTTTTTGTTAGGGTGCCTGTGCCAGTAACTTTGTGAAATTCATGAAGCTCATCAATACTGAGGTTTGGAAAGACTACTTGATAATATCTGAGGAAAAGGTAAATGCACGCAATTTTAGGCCATAATGGTAGCCATTTTGGATCTTTATTATGTCCTTATAATCATCCAGTCTCTGATATGCTTTAGAAAACGTACAATCACATCGGAATATTTTATTACTGTTGTTACTTTTTACTCTATACAATGTATACCCACGTACGCTGTCTCACCATTAAAAGTTTTAAAAGGGCAAACAAGCGACCGTTTGTCCGCCAAACAACAAATACCTTGAGGGAAATGCTACTTGTTGTAGTCATGTATTTCAATAATAAAAGCACGGAGGTGCGTTTATAGGTTAAAGACCCTCGGTTTACCTGCAGTTAAGCTGAACCTCCAGACACAAAACCACAAACGGTTGAATATGAATTAGGCCTTGCTGTCCGGGGATTTAGAAAATCAGTCAGGCGGGACGCTCTTGTTGGTGTGGGCGCTCAACAATTGCGGCTTTCACTAGTAACAGATGTGTTCGTGGAATGTACACTACACGTAGAATGGTGTATGGGTATTTCTTGAACAGGAGAGGCCAACAACGTTACACATGTATATGTAAGAGCGGCAAATGAATGTTATAGACCTTTAGGGCGGACGGATATTAATATATCGAGAACACAGGACGTGTAGCTTGAGTGTTTCTGATCACGCAACATCGCTACAGAGACTGTCAATTGTGTGAGGCACATCGTACCAAGCGGGCCCGTACACATGGAAACTTCTACCGACCAAAAACGGAAACACACTAGCTCAGGGTGATCCCGTATCAAACGTGTACGGCGATCGACCGACTATATTTTGTATACCACACCGACTCCAAACTATACTCCATACACCATGAAACGTTGGCAGCTGATGCTGATTGCATGGTTTCTGTTCATTGGTTACCTTCTGGCGGGTGCTTTCCTATTCAGGGCAATTGAACACCCCGAAGAGAAGCTGGCGGAAGCCACCTTCTTCCAAGCCATGGAGGAGTTTCTGGACTCCCATCCCTGCATCTCCAGAGACGAGTTGTTCCACTACAGCAAAGTATTGGTAGCGGGGGCAGACAGGGGCGTGGTAGATTTCAACGAGGACCATCACCATGGTCAAAATACTCGTGTGGACAAGGAGAGAAGTGTCTGGGATCTTCCTAACTCCTTCTTCTTCTCAGCCACCATTGTCACTACAATCGGTAAGGATTTGCGTCCGTGCACGCGAAGATTTAGACCTACACGGAAAAAGAGAAAGTGTTTGAGACGGCCCATAAGACACTAGCTTTTCGTGAACTTTTCTAAAACTTTGGAGGAAGATTTCAAGTTCCTACCATCGTCATAAATGGTCAGGAACAAACAAATTTAGAAATAAATCTTAAAAAGCATTTGAGGCAATTTCCTATATCCACTTCAACCTACTCAGAACAGAACACCCCAAACCACTTCGCCACATTGCCACTTAATTTGCCACAGGTCTTCTGTTTGGCCCACACTTAGCCCCATAGATGTGGCCAATTTACTGGACTACCTCCGTAAATAAAGGCCACACTTCCACCATCATGTAAAAAAACATGTCAAACTTTGTCGAATTTTGATTTTTACATGTAGGCTTAGTAGTTTAGTTTTGGTTAAGAAGCATACTCACCCTCTTTATAGGCTAATCAGAAAGTGCTGCCTTTTTCAGATGTCTTTTTTTCGTGAAATTTCCAGATTCGTTTGCACACGTTTGTGTATCAAAATTTCATCATGAAATTTTACAAAAATTAGACATCTGAAAAAGGCAGCACTTTCTGATTAGCCTATAAAGAGGGTGAGTATGCTTGGTGGAAGTGTGGCCTTTATTTACGGAGGTAGTCCAGTAAATTGGCCACATTTATGGGGCTAGCCCACACTAAGTGCGCATTGGCCAGAAGATGGCAACAATGTAATGTTTCAGATTGTTTACTTACCAATTATTTCAGTGATGTATAGCTCAGAGAAAAGAAAACATTTCCATACAAGGCCACCACTCATATTCCTTAATATGACCTGTAAAGTACCAAAAGATGTAAATCTGATGAAGAAACACTATTGTAGGAGTGCAAAATTCTTTTGATAACACTTTAATATTTTCTGTCTTGGCCCATTGACTTCGTGCAGGGTGTTTGAGTGGTGGCCTTGTATGGAATTCTTTCCAGAGAGAGTCCACACAATGTATGAAATTTTGTGAAGAAGGTGTTTGAAAGCCCTGTTTGTTTACGCCAGACGATGGTCAGTTTTTGCCTTGGGTTCTTGTGTTTCGAACAGTGCATAAAGCATTCCAAGCATGACAAGGCATTCAAAGCGTTCATTATTCGAAAACAATTTCATTGAGTTTTAAACATTGTGAACCCCAAATCTTTGCAACTATATGTAATACGATCATTCGTGGGAAACGCCGTTCAGAGCCTAGAAAGGCATATAATCAACCAAAGTACTTTTATTAAAGACCTTGCATAAGTTTTATTTGTGGTTTTTTTTTCAGCAGAAACATAAAACCTCCAATTAAACAAATGGGTACAAAATTATGGGTGTGTACGGTGTGTACTGTGGGTACACCATAGTTATCCTTGTCGCCAGATTTTTCTTCACCGTAAATAACTTTTATTATCGCCAGTAATTGCAAGTGTTAAAAAAAAACATGATTTAGTGATTTACGAAAGTGTACATGTAGTTAGAAAATACTGAAGAAAAATTTCACGACTCCCAAAAGACTTTGGCCTTTACACTGCATTTCACGAATAAGAGAAAAGATCTTTTGCAAATCGTGTTTGGTTGTACACGTTTTAAGAGAGTACATGTACTTCTGTAAATTGTGAGCAGTTTTTTAAATGGGCCGAGTGGCGATTGGGCAAAGTTGAAACGGAATGCATATGATACATATAGTGGCACTTGTATATACTGAAGCACCCTTTCCGGCTCACTACGTGAAGTAAAGAGTATTATTTCATGACCATGTACCATTGATCTGACATAACAAGCCTTCATACTAATTACAGGTAATTAGTTCGACCCCCCCCCCCCCCCGCGCCACTCCACCATTAATCGTTCAATTAATTAATTTCAATTTGTTTTTGCCTGTACAGGCTACGGAGACATTACGCCTCAGACACCAATGGGCCAATTGGTCTGCATGATCTACGGTGCCATTGGACTACCCCTTACAGCATGGGTTATAGGTGTCATTTCACGCTCTCTGACAGCATACTGGACCAAAGCACTGGACAAGGCTGACAACATCCTACTTCTCTGCCTCAGGTTTGCCCGATTACGGAAGACCGTCATGGTCCTCCTTACCATAGTGGTGTTGTACGCGATACTGCTCCAGGTTCCGGCCGTCGTGCTTGGATACATTGAAAAATGGTACACCTTGACGGCGGTGTACTACCTCTTCATCACCTTGACGACAATTGGATTTGGGGATTTGGTGGTGGGTAATCATCCGGATTTCACACTGGCAGCTAGGTGGGTGCTCAAGATTTGCATGGTGCTGTACGTGATACTGGGCCTCAGCCTCCTGGTGGCGCTATCATCGGCCATTGCGGAGCGTGCCAATAAAGCGGTCAAGAAATCAATCGTACCTTCAAACAGCTACCAGGTCGAACGCCCGAAGAGCAAGAAAGGGCGGGAACGCATGAACACCATGCTGGAAAATGAAATTGCGCTGAGTCACGTGCCGAATCTGTTATCCGCTAGGATGACAGATTCTTGCTCAGATTTTAAAACCGCGGACTTGGGACTGACTGACGCCGAAGAAGCGGCGTTTGAGATGCGGTCGCTTAGCAACCACAAGGAAGATGTACCACCGGATTATGAAGAGATCGTCATAGACACTTGCCTATCAGAGTCCAACGGCACCTTGTGCACAGTGTCACCGACCGATAGTTCTGACAGTAAGAAGTTAGCAGCAGACGAACTCTCTGTGCACCGGTCATCCACGGGCAACGGTCACGTTACTGAAAGAAATGGGAATACATGTATCTATACTATTTCAAAGGACGAATACGGGCGCGCTGCTTTCAAGAGCCCATCCATGGGGGATCACACGTGAAACAGGATTCATTCTTGCCAACTAGTAATTTAGCTTTCTATTATGCAATTTATGGAGGGTTTGGACTGACAAAAACTAACACCCCGAGCACTAATATCGTGTTTTTCATTGTCGAAATCATGTTTATTTTTGATAGTATTTTTATTAAGGTGCACAACCCAAGTTTTCTTTGTAACATACTGTTTAAAGATTATTTTCTTTTAAATTTAATATATGAAAACTCGTGTACAGGGAACAAAACAAATATAATATCCACAAGTATTTTTGTAACAACATGTATTATTTTTGTACGATGGTATTTGTTTTTAAGTGTATTAATGAATTTGAAGTTTTAGATTTAGTTTTAAACATAGAACAATTTCCAAAACGTGATGTATGGTTGACTAACATAATTTTTTCTAACATTTTAAATAAAACATTTTCCATTTTGTAGTGACGTAATATCTGTTTGATTTTTTTTAAATGTATTTAGCATTATTGTGGTCTATTGAGAGCTCTATAAAATTATGGGTGGATTTAATTATTTTACGGTTAATTTCAATGTCCCTTTTCAACACACCTTCTTAAGACATTTCATATCTACCGTGTCAGAAAAAAACAACGGCCCATAATAATTATGGTCATAACACTGTTCAATCTGCAACGTACTGCAGTATCTATATACATGTATACCTCAATTGGCGAACTACCTGCATATTATACGTTGTTTTCCCCAAGCAATAGAATAATTATCTCTTAATCGCAAGGACGGGACGAAAATAATTGAATTAAAATTCCAAACAAGTTTGCCACCTGGATATATTATCGTTGAAGGTCTTTGTGCCTTTCCTTTGTTGGATGAAAATATCAGGAATGTTGGTTGGATCCCTTTATGTTTAGTCTGGTTCCCTGTCCCTATTGTCCTTCGGACTTTAAATATGGGGACAGGTAGCTAGCTGCGAATCTTGCATGCGTTCATCAGGAGGCATCCCTGCCGCCGCAAAATATCCGAAATTCTAGCAACTTCAGCGCTGAAACAGCTGTAACAGGCTTCTGCCTGGAATGACATCACAATTTTGCTCATGAATATGGAAATTTGTATTAGCATAAAACAAAAAAGGCACAAAACACCCTGTAAAGTGGCAAAACGAAAATTGAGATAAGGTTAACTGAGACACAAATGTTCATTAAAAAAGCATGTATTAAAACATTTTAACTCCGCTAAAAAAACTGATTGTTTCTAATTTTCAGCGCATTTTAAAAGGATCACTATGTACTTCCTATGGGCGTCGCGAGGGGTGTGGGGGTGTGTTGTGGGGCCAAGAGGGGGACCTCCCCCCTAAAAAAAAAAAGCAGTATTGCTGTTAAATGACGGGGCGCTGTGGTCCAATGGTTACGGTGTTCGACTCGTGTGTCGTGGTACACGGGTTCGAGTCCTGACCGTGGGAAAATGTTGCTTGTGCTCTTGAGCAAGGCACTTTACCAGTATTGCTTCGTCCTTCGGATGGGACGTAAAGCCGTAGGTCCCGTGTGTTGTGTAATGCACGTTAAAGAACCCAGTAACACTTATCGCTAGGAGAAGGGGTTCGCCGCGGTGTTTCTGCCCCCCCCCCCGGAAAAAAAACCTGGCGACGCACATGGTACTTCCAAATTTATAAGAATCCGGAAATAACGTCGCAAAAACGCTTCCACAGCTGTGTGTGCAATATTCAACCGTAGCCAAGTAATTCGGGCAAGGCCTTGGACACTGTAAAGACGCCACTATTAGCCTTTTTGAAATAATTATAGCAGGCACAATAAGAGGGCGCTGTTTTATTTGGTAAAGTCTTGGTTTTATTACATGTAATGTCTATGGTATTTACTCAAACTAAATAGCGCCCTCCTAATATGTTGTTCACCATATCTCCAATAGTTGGGGTAGATTCGAGTCGAAAATACGTGTACATGTATTGGGATATAAATAGGGTTAATCTTTTGCTACAACAAATGACATTTTGTTCTAACGTTATTACCCAAAGATGTCGATGTAATACCCTCCGAGGATCTTTTACTTTAATACTTGACCCATTGCTCTAGGTATAATGGGGCAGTAACTTAACAGGAAAAAATATCACTCAACAGTTTTGGTGCCAGAGAAGATACCATTCGGCCTGTGAGGACGACTGAATACCAAACGCTCGTACGGGTATTGGATTACTGAGGACACCTTTACCCATCGCCTCCATCAATAAAGGGTGTGTCTCGTCCTTATTTTCCACGCTGAGCGTCGCATCAGCCGGGTCAAAGGCGATCCAGAATCCCCGGAATTCATCGGGGCTGAGGGCTTCGAAGGTCAAGTCGACTTCGGTTATGGTGTCCAGGCCTTTAGCTGACCGTTCCCTGATGTAAGTGCCTTCCGTAGTGCTTATTTCTGAAATTGACAACATGACAACGGACCAAATAATGTACATATCCGGATCGTAAGTATCATCGTTATTTGTACTCAAACCACGCCCACTACACCGTTACACTTTGTTTACATGTATATTTTCCAATGAAGCCAGTGGGGGCGCGCGTTACACAAAGCACCATAGGAAAGCACACACGTAAACAAAGTGTGACGTCATCAGTACTGAGGCTTATTGGAAACATTGGAACCGGAAGTGGTAATGGGCGCTAGTAATCAGTGGTGCGTGCGTGTGTTAGACGCAGTCGAGTCGCTTACGAACCGAATACAGTATTATTTACACTGAAAATTACCTGGGTTAACTTTACCAAAGAAAGGGTGAAAACTGGAACTACCCAAACTTGGGTTGTTCTACAACCAATTGTTTGGGTTAGAATTATTGCTAAATTCAACCAAAACTTGTGGTCATACAAGACCAAATTTAATTTGGTCTTGTATGACTACAACCTTTGGGGCGCTCTTCAGGATACATCAGTATGTATACTCGCGCATACATCAAAACGGCTATTGAATACATTTTTGTTGTTGGGATGTTCGAAAAAATACCTCGAAATCCGCAATTTTTTTTCGCATCACAAACAAGTGAGTCCCCAACGTACCCCCCCCCCCCGGGATTTACGCCCCTGAACTCTTCATTTTCGAAATGAAAGTAATGAATAAAAGTTCATTAAAGGTTAATACCAGTCTGCTCTGATAAATTTGTGATCAAACACCATAATGTTTTTAAACCACATTTAAAAAAAAAATGAGGCTTGGAACGCACACCAATCATAAAATAGTCTGGCACCATCCCATTTAACAGTTTACAATTCATAAAATAATAATAATACCGGATTCTTATATATAGCGCACGTATCTACCAACACTTATGTACTCCATGCACTGGAAATTATGTCTTTTATTAGAGACAGGTAAATGAATTTTATGAGAAATATGAGACCCATTGTGTAGCGCCTTTTTACAAGGGTTATAAGGTGCTCCGGCACATTAAGCAGCCACTGGCAGAACACCGGGGCGAACCCCTTCTCTTAGCGATAAGTGTTACTGGGTTCTTTAACGTGCATTACACAACACATTGGGACCTACGGCGTTACGTCCCATCCGAAGGACGAAGCAATAAAAGTGTCTTGGTAAAGTGCCTTACTCAAGAGCACAAGCACCATGTTCCCACGGTCAGGATTCAAACCCATGTACCATGGCACACGAGTTGAACACCGTAACCATTAGACCACAGCACCCCAAATACACTCAGGGAACACGATCGAAAATGACTTCCTGTGAATAAGGCATTCAGAAGGTCCAGCGAAGTAAGGGCACATAATTAGTACGCGATCGTGCGGCACTGTTTGTAAATTCGGGCGATCCTCAATGAAGTGCGCAACCAAGAGTTTGCCATGGAGAGTCCATCTTTCAAGTTTACGGTCGACAAAACATGGCCCATTTGAATGAGTGTCAATAGGCAACTTAAGCTAGATTATTTGGGACATAGCGTTCTGCCGCTTTACAAAAGAAACCACCATAAAAAAAAAGATTTTTAAAAGAAAATGGCAAACAGATTCTCGAACCATGCGCTTACGAAACTACTGACCGGTAAAAATCTAACAATTTCAAATGTCCCGCGCTACGAATTTGTCGACCATCTCCCACAATGCACTGGGAAAATTAACTCTCCGTGGCAAACTCTTGGTGGCGCGCTGCATTGAAAAATAATGTCCGTAGTTCAGGCAGGTGAGGATGACTTACGTATCTCGTAGTACAGCACAGGTTCTGATACAGTGTGCAGGTACACAGTGACTGAAGAAGAAGAAGATGTGCGCACAGAGAACTGAATCTCGAACGGTGTGTCAGGCAACATCAGCACATTGAACTGTACCACTCCTTTATTTGTGGAGTATGAAGGACAACCTATAAACACAATCAGGATGAAAACCATTCAAACTGTTATTTGTTATGAAGCCAAAAACAACTCTGCTGAAAAAAATCACCAAATATCAAAATTTCGTTCTTTTGCTGTTCACGTTGCCATTTAAACAGTAAAGAGCAAGTTGGATTTTGAAACAGGGTTCACTTGGTTGAAATCCTTTAAAGAACTCATGCTAGTCAAGAATGGTCAAACTAAACTGGTAAGTTTGGGGCCTGTTTGTTTCATTCCAGATCCTGATCGAGATCTAACGCCGTGCGAAACAAACACAACCGCTCTCGTGTGCGTCGATTCCTTTAGGCGCACGCAAATGTCCTCTGCTTCTGGTTTAAGGCAGAAGCAGGCGCGGATCCAGACGGGGGCACACCCGGCCCGTGCCCCCCCTTTTCGCAACTGTTTTTTTTTTTTTTAACGAGTCGTCTTAGGGCTGGCGGGCATTAAATACATTCCTTTGAGAACATGGCTGTCTTTTTCGTTTTTGAGGAGTCATTATGGCGGGCGGACGGGCGGTCATCAAATCAATCGCTTTGAACATAACTATCATACATAATTATAAACACAAATATACAATGTATAAGTTTTGAAGGTAGCCTGTCAATCATTGTCTCAAAATTTATTTCAAAGCAAGAATATATTTTTATAAGACACTTTTATTTCCCGGCTGGAATTGGGGGCACATTTAATACAGCACTTGCATTTAATGCTTCATGTCAAAATATATTCCAAAATATATTCTAGAGTAGAACATGTACCGGTACACGAAATAATGTAGGCCATGTGGTTTTTTTTTAATAAATGAAGAATAAAATCGTCATCCCCTTTTTTATTTTCCCGACCTCAGAGAGAGATTTACGTCTGGTTCTCTAAATATTTTTTTAAAAGCAAAATGATTAAAAAAAACCTATCCCGTTAAAGTTTGCACTCTAAGTTAATTCTTTTGTAGAGTCCAAGGGAAATTTTATACGAATTATGCTCGGTTTTTCTTATTTTTAAATGAATATATCAGGATTAACAACATCCCTCAAATAATAGCGTCAAAATATATTCCAAAATATATTCTAGAGTAAAACATTGTCACAAAATAATGTAGGCCATGCGTTTATTTTTTTAAATACACGAAGAATTAATCGTCATCCCTTTTATATTGTCCCGGCCTCAGATAGAAAGAGACATCAAATAAATAGGGGTTATTTTAATACGATTTAGTATGTCTTGTTCTCTCGATTTATTTTTAAAGTAAAACGATTTCAAACACCCTAGCCCATTAAGTTCTGAACTCTCAGTTAATTCTTTTGTAGATTCCAGGGGAAATTTTAATACGAATTATGCTTAGTTTTTCCTAATTTTAAAAGGAATACGAATAAGATCATCAACAGCCCTTTGACTTCAAACTTAATTTCAAAATGTATTCCGAAATAATTATATTCTAGAGTAACATTCACAAGAATAATGTAGGCCATGCAGTTTTATTTTTTAAATAAGCGAAGAATAAAATCGTACTACGAAAAAAAGACATCGGGAGCCCTACATTTAATGAATTATTTGGACTTGGAATATCATCCCCCAATCGTTTATCTATGTGCATGTACACAACACGGAGGTGAAATTTCACGTTCAATTCAGTTTCCCACATTTTTCGCATAAAGTTTTCCCCTGTCTCTGAGAAAAAAATGCCCAAATAAAATGTCAGCTCAGAAAAGCCTTTCCAGAGAATGATTGATAGCCGCATTGTTCAAATTGATACAATGCCACTCTTGTTCGTTACTAAGCATATACATTTGGGCTCGGCTGTAGGCCACTGAACTTTAGGGCCTTTGAGAACTTGCCGTCAGTAATTGGAAGATTCTTAGATGATAAACAGTGA